TTGCAAAGCGATCCAAACGTGGTGTCCGTCATTTTGCGAACCGATGATGCAAAATTTGTCTTTGAGGTCGCTGCTGTGAACAGTTCCGGCACCATGTTCGCCATTTTGCACATTTGAGGAACTGGAGCCTCGCGCACCAACTTCATGTGCTTGTCATTGACCTTGAATTGTTCACTGTGCCTCAACGCAGAGCCTGTCCGTGCGCTCTTTGCGCCCTGGTGCAAAATTGCCAGGGCGCCCTTTTCTTAGGATGAAATGAAATAGACTCAAAATTGTCTCAAAACGAGTAACTTCCTTGTTAGAAAAGTTCTGTACGCTATTGTGTGTATCGTTCATATTATGAACGTCATGGTGTACAATACACTGTTTCGTGTATATATGAAAGGCACGAAAAAAAATCCAACGAAATTAGCAAGATATCTAATTGCCTTATGTAATACTGAAAATTTGCATTTTAGATTTATTGAAAACATTATACATTGCTGCGATCGGCGAAGGCGCGAGAGCTTAAATTTTTTTGTCATTTCAAAAATGTAGCGCTTGAATACACATGTTTACTGACTTGAGAATTATTACATGGAAAAGGGTGCTCAAAATAATTGAATATATTTTGTAGTCGGTTGAATAAATCAGAGATGGTTCATCGTATACCGCGCGTACATGGGAATGTGTATCAGTATATACTCTAACGCATACCTTTGCATTGCGTGTACGTCTTTGAACAATAAATGCGTTAAGTTCTTCACGCACGCAGCTATACATACACATAAACGCTAACGCTTCAGTGCCAGCGGACGCGTTGTTTAACGCAAAGGTTTTCAATGTATATATACCGTTCTGTACCGAGTACAGTAAATACAACGAATTGATATACATATACTCCATCTCTGGAATAAATACTGAAATCTTATTGTTTAATATTTTTAAATTGGAAAAAGGCGCTTTAAATACAAGTGGCACTTCAATATATATATATAAGCTGATCAAATACTTTTGATGCTTTCGGCGCTCTCGACGCCTGAATTTTTCTACGTATTTTTGGAAAATTTAAGCAATTGAGCGCCTTCGGCGCTCAAGCGCTCCAATTTTCCTGGCATTTTTCACAAATTTCAGTGCTCGCGCGCCCTCGGCGCCTCAGCGCCGTGGTGCAGCGCACCACTTGCGCCCTATCTGGGACAGGCCCTGCCTCAACGAACGGCCATAATGAAAAGAGACTTGGTCTCTAACATATGTTCATCATGTTACAAAAACACGGCAGGGACTTGCCGGCACAGCATTACGAAAGGGATGATGGGGATGACCGCAGTAAAGAGGATTGGATTTCCTTGGAGGACGAAGCGATTGACGACGTGGCCATAGATGACAACGTGGCAAGTGGTGACGGAGTCATTGTGGATAACGACGTGGCCATGGATGACAACGCGGCAAGTGAAACTTTTGCCCATGGACAAGACTTTTACGCCCATGAGCAAGTGAAAATTTCGCATGACTTGGTCGATATTCCAATGAACTGACACACTTTTCTCTGGACTCTGCTCATTCCTGGAAGATCTGGACGAGTCAGTCGATCAACTTTTGCTAGAGCTAGTTTTTCTCATACGAAAAAAATGTGAAAGAAGATTATTCTTGTATCGAGATGGCACTGATTATATTCATAATTATGAAGAATGGACTGTTATTGATAAACTCAAGCCTAAAAAAATTTAATCGTGGCTCCTAGTCATTATAGGAAGTGACGCAATCAGTCAATCGAAAATGTGTGATTTGTCATATATGCGGGGGTGGGGAAGATATGGTTCATTGTTCGGAATCATATCAAAATGGTAGACTTGATATCGCGAAAATCGACTTAATACGTATTAAAATAAAAGAAATATTTAGAGCCTATAAGTGATTGTTGTAGTTTCTACAGTCCACATACACATTTGTTGATATCACATTACGAGCAAAATTGTGAGAGCTCAACAGTCTGATCTCAATTCCCTTTTTAGATATCGTCTCAAAATCTACTTTTAGTGAATTTAACAAGATAAATGAGTTCATCGATGATGATACGGCTAAAAGAAAAAAACTTTATAAATTGATTTTATCCCTGCGCATAATCTGAGATACGGAAGAAAAAACCCACGGTAGAATGAATATTAGCTTGAAAACGAAATCAAAAAGTTTGTGGATTCTCCAATGAAACTCAAGCAATTAGTGATTCATTCAATAGAATTTTTTAAAGAATGTTCTTATGTGAATCATGTAACGTTGCCAGATGATTCAACTCCATATTTTGCCTGAAAGTTCTATAGTGCATTCTAGTTCAGAGGCGTAGCCAAGGATAGAGCATTCAAAACCATATGTTTTTCACAAGTGAAATGTGTTTTTATAGAAACAGTGAGTTAAACAGGCATGGGCCTAATGAATTGTAATTCATGATCGTTAGCCCAATATCAAAACAATAAGTAATCTCATTCATGTTCTTGAACATTTATTCCTCAAGTAACAGTATATTACTAAAGTAGACCAACTGTGGTTCTATGGATGAAAAATAAGACAATTGAATCGATTCAATTGAAATTATTTTGGATCTAACAATCAAAAATACACATCACACCGGCCTTATCTAATCGAAATATGCAATAAATAGCACAATCCATCAAAAAAATGCTAATAAACAACATTTAATGTAGCAATCCATTACACTACACTATTTAGTGATATTACGCCGTTTTGAAAGGGCAACTGATTCGTTAATAATAATAACAAGCATGCGTTTTCCGATGGCTGAGCATCTCAGCATTTCGTATGCTGCGGATATATCCGAGCATATCGACGACGCATACTGTATAGTACAGTGACGTGCGCTGCTACGCGCAGCCGCAAAGCAGAGCAGAGCAGAGACTCGACCACGTCACTGTATTATACAGTATCCGATAAATATTACACATTTGAATTACAAGCGAGATAATCATAAAAATATCAATTAACTTACAAAATTCATTTGTAAGTTTGATTTTCTTTTTTATCTCAATAATATTAAATGACCTTAGTATTTCCATATGGTTTTAGTAATTTCATAAAAAGTGCCACTCAAGAACGAGCGAGACAGTATGGCATTCCTAGATAAGCGCTCCGGAGCTAATTAAATGGTTTTATTCCGAACAGCTTGAATAAAATGACGAAGGATAACTTCCCGGATTTTATTTGGCGCTACCATTGAACAGTCTGTAATGTTTGCTTTTTACATCTTCCACCGGCAGAATCGTAATATATGTACAGGGTTTTTCACAATTCCTCCACAAATCCCTCAATTGAAGAGGAGTCAAAATGTCAATTGGTTTTTCCCCTTTTTTGCCACGGTTAATAAAGTTCAACTGAACACAATTGGTCACAATTGACCCAATTTGAAAATTTAAATAAATCCAATCATTTAAAAATAGTCTTTTTTCCAATGCCTGCCAACAACGAATGAGTTTGCTGCGATAGTCACAACTGTAAACACTATACACGATGATCGATATAGGAGTTCGTGTGTTATTTTTAGTTCAGAGTCTTACTATATGCGGCACTGGTGTCAAATGTCAAAAAATTCAGCGTTTGGCTAACAGGCATTGCTTTTTTCAGAAATAATGCGTTATCAGAGTATTGCCTTTTCATCATACATTGGGAATTCGTAAAGTCAAATGTATAGCCATTGGCCAATTGGCCAATTTTGAGAAACCAATTCCCTTAAACCAGAGATCACATTCTGTATACGCCTATATCTTGAGATATTAGTAGCTCCTATTTTTTGGCGATAGCTGTGCATATTTTTCAATAGCAGCTACCGAGGTACATTCAGTAAAATAATATTTGATCAACATATGAAGATCTTAAAGATATAAATATACTATTTCAGCACGATTTTGTATGATAGAAGTTCCTACCTTTTTAAGAGATTTCTTCGAAAATTGAGAACAATCGTTTGTGGTCAGAAATTACGTGTACAATTTTGTTGTATCATAATGTTGACATGTACGATTTGAGCAGATCTTTTCCATTATTACGCCTGTTCAAATTAGATATTATTTTATCAAGACTATTTGGTTCTTCTGTCAATGTGATGAATGGTATTAATGATAACATAAAATTACACATTTCCTGACCCAACACCTTCCAATCATCCATTTTCACTCGCTTACTCGGACGTGCACATATTCTTTGGTGCGAACTATCCAACAAATGTTGTTTCCAGCATACTGCGGTCGTAAATGAATATTCAGTAAATTAAAGTCATTCCCAATAGATTTGGAGACCAAAACATCACTGTGCTTTGATGAATGAAATTCGACACTGTGTATGTTCCTCATGATTTCGATTTCATTTGCAATAAATGCTTAATTGACCATATGAAGCATATTGAATTCGATCAAATCAAAGATTCATAAATGTGTTAATTATTTTGACCATCATTGTCTGCTCACTAAATATTTCATGCGCTTGACAAACAATAGCTTTTGATGGAAGTATTTTCACTGTCGATATTTTCAAAAACACGAAACCGCTAGTTCAAAGGCACAAAATTAAGGGAAATAAAAAAAAAAATTCAAAACAATTTCGACACAAGTAAAAGGCTTTGATTCAGTAATTGTTTTTTCAAATTGATAATTTCATTGAAATGCTTGATGTAAGTGTAAGTAAGAATTTTATATTGCCGTAAGCACAAATTTTTCCACTGATTATGACATCTACATGAATTTGTTCAAAAAGAACCGGAACTTTGCATTTTACGGGAACCGAAAACAAAAGATGCAAATTGCTTGCGTGCGAATTACGTCAATCCAAGACTGGTTTAAGTTTTTGCAGGACTTTTGGATCAAACAATTGTTGAATTGGCCCTCCCGACTTAATGATGCTTTTTTCTGTTGCGTATAACTTTTGATTGAATGCGATGTGTGTGAAGGTGGTGGAGTGGCTCGTGTTTCGCTGAGAACGTTTGGTAACTCATGCATGCGCTTTTATGGATAGCTGTACCATTCTCAACTTAGTGCAGTCGGCTATAAAGCGGTAAACCGTACGCTGGAGCTCTTCATTCATATTTCTGAACTCAAACGGTGAGCACATTCCGAACGTGTATTGTGGCATTCAGTGATAGCTAAAACTAAAGGTGTTCTTGTGAATTCTTTTTTACCTAAACGGTACATTAAAATATTTGTTCAGACGATAAAACTATTTAAAAGCTTTTATTCAAATCATACAAACAAACAATTAAACAAACACATTTGGTGAGTGTGCTGCAAAATATTTACATATAGATTTTTCTGTTCATTTCTGACATTTCTTGTGATCAATTCAACTAATATTTGGTCAACGAATGCTATATTCATTTTGAGTTGAGACATTCTACTGTTACCTCTCCATTTGCCCGTATTTGTAAAATTTATACATTAGTTTTAATTTCATGTTTGCTAAGTCAAAAGAATGAAATATGGACTATGAAAAATGATATTAATTTTGTTCGCTGATGATCTTATATATGGGATTAGTGCAGTATTGCATAGAATTGAATTTTCGAACTGAACGAAATTGATTTTGATTCAAACAAAACAAATTTCCTAATTATGTAAATATAAATTCTATTGGTAAACAATAAAACTCGATTCCGATAAAAATTGAATCATATATTTTGTATTCAATCACTCATTATTGATTCGAATTGTGTTTCCTTTGCCATTTTTGTCAACTGCTCAAAGCACTTTATTCATTGCAGTGAAACCGTTGAATACCGTTCTATATAAATATTTTCCAATGATGTGGTGATGTTATTTGCCGTGCCGCATACTCTGATATCATATTTGTTTTTGCCATTTAAAATGTTCAAATTGAATTATTCGAGAATGAAATTCATACATAAGAGTATTGCACGCATTCTATCAAGACATCAAAATTAAAGCATCAGACGACAGCGATGGCTTGGTGAAGCAAAAATGCAACGAAGATGTTGAGTAAAATGTTCATGTTGATAGTATTTGGTCTGACGCATCAATAAAACGTCAAAGTTTATAAATTCATTGCAATTATATAAAAGCTTTCATTTTTGACGAAACTTTTTTTTCTGTAACTAACAAAAATGAACTTTTTTCAATCCAAATGGGAATTGCATTTGGAAGTTCTTTCATCCGGATCACTTTATCGAAACGATATAAACTATTTTAATCATACATATGTTATAATTGAACATCATTTATAATACGATTTTTTTTTTTTAACAAATTCATCAACTTTTACTTGAAACAAATGTTCTTAGTTCAATTGTTTAAATTTGTTCGGTTTGCAACATTTTTTATCGTGTAATATTGGCCAGACATATGCTTAAAACATATGAATGTGTAAGCGCAAAAGAGCGACATATTTATTTATTTATTCACATTTAGTATGGCTAGTGGGCCCTATTTAACTCTAACTTACTCTTTTTCGTACATACATTCATATTAGCGTAAACTACGATTTTCGTGATACGTAGTTTCCACATAATACTTTAGCCAATTTCGTCATTCTAGTTTAATGGGAAGATAGAACAATAAAAATTGTATCGATGAGTATAATCGTGTCATTGCAGAGATATTCTGTTCTAAATACATTGAAATAGTATTAAAACAGTCGAAGAACAGAAATATTGGAACAAACTGTAATTACATTGAAAACTCATACTGTTCGTCTTAAGTTTATGTTGTATTTTTAGGCAACTTCAAAATAAAAGCATGAACATTTTATATCCAAAAATGCACACGATAACAGAGCAAATTAGACTCCATTCCGATGGTCAAAAGTAAATGAATAAATTCGTTTTGATTCTTCGTATTCGTAAGAAAAATGGGAAAACTTGACACTTATTTTTCTATCGACCTTATATAGTTCATACAAATCAAAATATTGATATTTTTTACTTTGAAACCGTTAAATTCAAAGAACTTGTTTCATTTTCACCGTCACTGCTTGACTTTCACTCGAACGTCGTACACAACACACACACACACACATTGAAGATTGACAGTCTAATCGTGAAACCCGTTCTTTGAAATTTGATTAGTTCAAATAAGCCGAATCAAACTTGTTTATTCTATATCAGTTGAAATTAATATCCAATAAATGTTCTAACACAAATGAAATTCCTTTAAATCTGCTATAGTTTTAAAATAACAATCAACTAATCACGCAAAATGCATAGGAATTTGATTGATTAAATTAAATTTTATATGATTCATCGGAATTTGAGTATTCAATTCAAGAGTGGTTAAGTATCAAGTTTGTGGTCACTTGACATATTTCAGTCGAGTTCGTTCCGGATGTTCATTGATGCTTCATTGGTGTCTTCAACTTCTAATATCTGTGATGCAATTCCTAAAAGCATATTTGCTCAAGCCCTACATATATCTGATAGGCTAGATTAAGGTGGGAATATGGTTTTTTTCGATTTATATTTTCAAAAAGGATAGTATTCTTTTGATGAATCTATTTATTGAGAAGTGCAATTGCATGTAACTGGTTCAAAATTGGACAGCGTATTTCATAGAGCATATTGCGTTTAATACCTTTGCTAAAGACACTAATTCGATACATCTTATCAGTTACGCAGAAGATTACTGGATATTTATCAAAAAAAAGAAACTCTTCTCACAAATTTCACCCACAGAACTGTGACCCATTGGTTTTTTAGACGAAAAATATCAGTTCATAGTTGATGTGGGCGTAGATAATTCATAAGTAGCATTTTTCTTCAAATTGCTTTCGAAAAAACGAATTAAAATTTCTCAAATGGTTATTTTATGCTTCCAATACTTCATCGCTATACTGAAGTTTGAAAATTGTTCATAAATGCGCGAAGACTCATTTGAACATTTATTGTTTGTTATAAAATTGTTTCATACAGAATTTCACAAGAAATTTAATTGACCATTAAGCAGCATTACTCTATTTTGCTCTCTGTAATTTACAATTTCTATTCAGTGGCACTTGCAAGCTCACAATCAACGTCATTATCAGAAGTTTCCGCCTGGGTCATCAATAACGTATAAAAATGCAACATTTTTCGCCTATTTATTATTTAGCAGTAATATTTATCGCTGTATTGGTCACACACAGCGAAGCAAAACGTGAGTATATTATTCAATTTAGTTGAGTTTTTCAATAATTTTTGTAGGAAAAATTTCCATCCGCAATAATTGATTTAATTAGTATACTGTATACGTGTAGCTGTATTTTTTGGACGACCGTCATATTCAACCCTTTACTTTTCAAAGAAAAAAAAAATTAAAAACTCGAAATGAAAGTGGGAAAAGTTGTCGCTATATTAAGCATATTGAACCACAGTTTACATTTTTACAGACTTAACCAATTTTCAGAATTAAATTGGATGCCAGTCTTAGAAAAAATGAACTCTTTTAAATGCAAATTTATCAGAGCTTGTGGCGACAGGAAGTTTTTTTTTTTGACTGAGTGTACGGTTTTCCTCACTCAAAATTATACATTCAGTAAATGAATTACATTCCATTCTGTTTGACATTACTTGAAAGTAAAACACTTTTGAAAATTGGTTTTAAAACGAAACCCAAGGAATATCATATGCAGAAATACTCTATTCTATTAATATCCATTGCTATTGAATCATTCAATTAGTAGCGAAACGATAGTTCATAAAGTTTTTCTTCAACAGTTGACATTTGTTAGTTATTTGTGCATTTGGCTGTTGTCAACATCTCAAGCTATGTTATATTACTGATAACACTTGTAGCTGTGCACATTCTTATCAACTTGTTATATATTATTCGAAATGTGGCAATGTCAATGAGATCAACCGGGTTATGTGAATTGACATTCTAGTATTGCATTCATAATACGCATTGGAATTGCACATCAGACATTATCGCACTTTTGTGGGAAGAAGGAGCGACAAAATTTTTCACTTGAATAAAATGAAAACATAACAGCCATCATTGGAATTGTATCATCTATTGGTATGGTATCGAACGTTCAGTTCATGTCATAAATATTGTTGCCATCTGGTTTGTTCCCCCTCTTTCTCTCTCTTCTTTTTTACAACAAACAATCGTTGTTATATGACGAATATGCCATCCAGATTGTTCACTTTTTCACTATTTATATTTTTCTATTTTCCAATTTTGTGGTGATGCTGATTGTGTGAAAACCGCAATGCTTTTAATTAGGCGATTCAATAGGTGAAAGAAGTTAACGTGGGCACACAATAACCACCTGTTAGTCCATTCGATGTCAATTGATAGTGTTGAAATGAATTCAATAATTGAGTGGGAAACTGCAAACATTTCGTTCGGTGCCAATTTTCCGATGTGCTGTGGAGGGAGAAAAGTGTATCATAACATATAATCACGAATAAATGTATCGTCATTGAACACACCTGGGCAATTGGTTTTATGAAACAATTATGGCAGTTTGTGTACGATTTCCATTTTTTGATGCTATGAAGGAAAAGCTTCTTGATCTCAACAGCTATGTATAACATAGATTTCACTAAAATTGAAACAAAATAAGACTATTAAATTATATAATATCTGGTTCTGTTGAAGTTACTCGTGACATAGGCCATATAAATTCACTCTAAAGGGATGTCAATTTATGCAATCGAATGAAATGACTATGAACTTTTCATTGGTTTCAATGTGTTATCGCTTGTTTTTTTTTTCCATTCCATGGTCTATTGTTTGTGTTGCATGGTTCGTTTCAACCATTGCTAATGTATTCGTATAATAATCAATATGAATACATAGATGCTGTTATAACAAATGCATTCGTTTCCGTTCTGATGCATGCAAATATCGGAATGCAATCATGCTCATTTGCAAGTGTTCCTTCCACCTTCTTATATCTACTCTCAATTTGCATCTTCTTATGATGTAAATTGAACGAAAAATGCACATCGTTTTTATTTCTTTAAATACTGATTGACTTTTTGTGCACATTGTGCCCACACAATTCTCCCCAAGTTATATTCAGATTTCATGGCTGTTTATAAAATTCTAAGCCAACCGAATTCCAACCAATCAACCCTGGACTATTTGACCAACATCCATTTGATTTGATTTTGATCCTCGTTTATCCGCTCAAAATGTTTTCCAAAGAAATAAACTGTTTCTTTCATTTTATTTCAAATATTTTTAGTTTTATTCTAAAATTATATTTCTCAATAGAAAATCTGAACCAAGAATAATCACGTCGGATACACAACTGTAAAGTTTCACGTTAGAAATGTGAAAAAAGAACATTTATGTTAATTTGAAAGGAAATTCAATAAATCCCCAAAGAGCATTTTGTGCCTGCTTAATTTTCCAAAGATTCAATGACTGTGGTAATTCAAGTCCTTCAAGATATTCCCCAAGTGCGGAACTTTTTCAAGTTTCTGCATGTAATCGTCCCTTCATCGCATATGATTTATAATTAATTCCTTGTGTCTGCAACGGTATTCATACAGTTTTTCTCAAACAATTTACGCCTAATTTTAAACAGCAACCGTTTTGGCGTTAGATCGAAAATTGGAAATATGCAAGTAACGCAACAAAAATGAAATGTAATTCAAAATAAAATACCATTATTCTATCCGTGGAATAAGAGAGTGTACAGAAATCGAAATAAAATTTAGCTTTTACTATCTTGTTTTGCTCTCTAGTAGATGAATATTTCCTTGTAAATTTCCTTGAATTACCTGATTATCGCAATAAGTTTACCAAATGAAAAGAGAGATAGGACGAACAATATAGATTGAAGTATCATAACGTCTTAACCGAAGTGCAGTTTATTGATGATACAAAAAAAAATGTCGGCAAAGTGCTCAAATCAGTATCTAGGGGTTTTCTACTGCTTCTCGTGTTTTTGCAATGGATTATTAACTGAAGTACCTCCCATTCATAATCAAACAAATGTTTAGATAATAATCACGAAGATTCACAGAAAGTGGAGGAAAATTGCGTCGTAAAGAATAAGACTAAGGTGTATAATAAACAGAAACACACCAATTAAGTAATTCAGTAAAAAAAAAGCTTCGTAAAAGGCGATTCAAACCTATGAAATGATTTTTCGCGTTTATATCTTGAAAATTTTGTACAATGTACGAATGCTTTGTACAATGAATTGTTATGAAAATTTTTACGCATTTTTTTCGCATCGTGAATGATGAAGCATTTCATACAATATACAGTGTACACAATTCTTTTTGTGCATGTACGTATAATCTATACGTTAGTTCAAATGATGTTCGTTCGGTGGGCAATTACTTATCTCTCGAACATTTTCAACAACAACAACAACAACAACAAGCGTTTAAAGACCATTATTGCCTTGCAATAAGTCTTGTTTTCTGGTCTGTTTTGTAATGAAGGCCTCACTTCTCCTCTAACAACATTTCTTCTCCAAAACACACTGTCGAGAGCCAGGTCTTGAGTTTCTCTACTCTAATCGTATCCTCTTTCATTCAAATCACACTTAATCGAATCCAAATACCGTCTTCGAGGTCTACCTCTGCCTCTCGGACCATTCGCTTCAGCATTCAGAACTAACTTAGGTAAACGAGACTCATTCATACGCTGAACATGACCAAACCATCTCAATCTAGACTTCCTTGTAGCCTCATCAATCAAATCAACCTTCAAATCCTCTCGAATTCTCTCATTCCTAATTCTATTCTCCCACTGGTCCCTACGCGACACTCCAGAAATCATACGCAACACTTTCATATCAGATACCTCAAGATCGTGGATTAAAATACTCGTGACTCGAAGGGCACGTGAAAATATCAGGATTTTTTGAAATTCCCGACCGAATATACCGTAATGTGAGGAGAAACCCTTATGAAACAATTAATAATATTTTTTGGGTTCTTCAACAGAAGTTTAGCCGCCTCCTCCAATCAAACTGCTCTCTATATGCTCTTCTAGAATCATCATAATAATTCATATCACTTCTTCTTCACATGTTTTTTTTTAACTATCGTGGTAGTCGTTATGTGTCTTTTTTTATCCTAGGAACATTTTAACTTGAGCAGCTGAAATTGAATTCAGTGACATAAGTTTGTGCAGGTGATAAAATTTACACGATCCTAAACATACCAACACAATACAAACTAAGTACATAGTGAATTGGAGATGATGTGTCATCTTGTGCGAAAGTGAAATAGTCTTTTTCACTGGTTATAATTCGTTGATTAATGAAAAAAAAAAATAGATTTTGTTTTTTTTTTTCACAGTGCCATGCGACTAAACTTACTTTTTTATACAGCTAAATACTCGGCAATGAAAATGATAACAAGAAGCATCGACCGGCTACGATTCAGTTACGCGATAAACTGATGAATTAGCTCAATTGTAATCTACTTAGGCGGTATAAAACTAATTTTTTTTTTCGTACAGACAGTTACAAAAGTTTTCCTCAATGTCAATCGATTGATCTTTTCAGAACTTTGTTAACTTTATTTTGACTTATTCCAGTCTCAATTGAATCATAAGTTTGACGTACTGAATTGGATTTAAATAGCTTGGGAAAATACCAAAAGCGAAAACTTATTTAATACCTAATACTTCGATGCGATATAATGTGGGCACATAAATACACAACTAAGTTGTACTAGTGATGGAAATGAGTGACACAAAACCCTTCACCAAAATTTGTTTGACATTTTAAGTCTTCTGCAAACGCAATATGTCCAAGTCTATGTGAAAAAAATGTGAGGATCAAGCGATTTTTGTGTCAAAATTTTGATGTGAATCTAACACTTCAATTAATAGAATGAACAGTGAACACTCCACACACATGCATAAGGTACGACGTTTATTTGTCCCCATTGGCTTGTAAAAACAGCGATTATGTTATTTAATCGATTCAACAAACAAAAAATGTATGCCGGAAATGTAATACAGCATATTTGTAATGCCTACGTAACGTGAGCACCGAATATTGAAAATAGAACAAAATTAAAACTTGTATTCAAATTGTCTAATTTCGTTTCAGCATCCGTTATCCCAACAAAAGAGTAAATATAAAAAAATAAAATATTTAAAACAGGCTTGACTGAGTGGGAATAAGTCGTCAAGTGTTCTTATTTTCCATTTGTCGACTCTTATTGTTGCTCACTCTCATAAGCGTAATGCCATCATGATTTCAATGCGTTTGGGAATTTGGGAATTTCGAACTATTCAAATTCGGGTAGCATAGAAGATATGCTTCAATTCATATGCTTCATGTATTCTGATCCTTGCAATCATAAACATTTTTGGTCTACGTATCACGAACATAGCTTCTTCGATGAGTCATACAAATGACCCAAAAGGGCAGAAATGAAAGAAAAAGTACGCGCATAATATCGAGTCGAGTATATACGATATTAATTTCTAATGGCAAATTTTATGTTGATTGCACAAATTGGGTTAACTCGAATGATTTAGCACTGAATTGGGGACTGCATTGTTGTACAAATATGCGTCATCATATGAACAAACCTCATTCGTCTCTAGCCTGTATCACAGAAAACACATCTCTTTATGGTTATGGCGTATTTTTGGACGAATATATGATTATATCATTTTCACTCGCGAGATGTGTACACATTCCATTTGATAGTATCCAAGAAGCAATTACTTCTGTAAATGAACATGTTTGCAACATTAGAGTGTTGAAATTCGTTGGCAACAACATATTTAGTAGCAAAATGAAGTTTTTCGTCGACACATGAGTGTTTCTGTTCGTTCATATGCAAGAAGGAAAAAAATTCGAATAAATGTACGGCACACTTTCAAAAGGGGAATTAAGATGAGAGTAATTAGCAATGGCTTTTTACATTTGGATGCTTCATATTTTTCATTCCATAATATATAAAACAGAATTTAAATCGCAGGTTTATGCTTCCTTCTCTTTTTTTTCTTATTCCATTGTGTGGCAGGTGGATGTGCACTTTACGGTCATTCCTGTTATGGTGAGTTTTTTTTTTTCTCAAACGTTTATGCATAATAATTTCTGAAGATATTCGATGTTGGAGAAAAAAACTGCACATTTAAGCTAGCTTTAGATAAATGGTGTATAAATCAACGTATAGTTTCAAATTAAAATTCTTTGTAAAAAAGGTGGCCACGGAAAACGATCTGACGTACCGCGAGTCGATATGTTATCTTTGGAAACGCCTCAGGACAAACCATATTCAAATATAAACAAAGAAATTTTCGTAAGAATTGATACTTTTAATTTTAATATTTCCAATGTTCGCTTATTCTTTAAGGCATCTTATCATTTATTATTACAGTATCCCACAAACAATGAACTGAATGGAGTCAATCAAATAGATTCAAACAATGAGAATCGTTGGAAATCAAGAAATGAGTTCAACTTCGCTTTATTCAATTTGCTAAGACGATGGGTAACTATAACTACATCTTTTATTTTCATTCTCAAACGTTGATTTTCAAATTTTCAAGAATAAAATCTATTAAAACCATCTATTGTTTAGATTGACGATGCAAAAAAGGGTTCGGAAGAAGTACAACAACAAACGCCAGAAGCGGATACAATCTTTAAAAACACCTTCGTCTGAACGTAAATTGGACCGAACCTGTATCCAGCACAATCGACAAATATCTAGAAGTTTAATGTATATTTTATTTTTCATTTAAAAACATATTTTCAACGTAAGAAATGCAAAGTAAATGCATTGTAAAAAATCAAAAAAAAAAAAAAAACTAAAGAAAGTTAAATCAAAGAATGACGCATTTAAATGAATAGACAAAAACATATGTGTTGAATCCTGTTGATAGCGTTTGGACATATGGCTGAATTTTTTAAATTGTCAAATATCATTTTGGCTGGAATATTTAACAGTTTGGAAAATCGGATTAACATAATCAATCGTAAATGTCAATCGTTCAATATGTCGAATGTAAGATTTAATGATTTAAAGTTTAAAACACATGTTATATTATTGAAAATTATCATCTGTCATTATTTCGCAAAAGAATTTTTTTTGCAATTTTTGTGTTGTTATTATCTAAAATTGAGTTGACATTTTTCATGCCTAATGAAGTGAAATACTTTAAAAACACTGTCACGGCGGTAATAATTATTATTTTCAACTGTACCAATAATAACCAAATGCAGTGAATTCTGAATACGTGTTTTGTAAATATTTGGTCCATGTGACCAATTGCATTATATCTAATAAATTATAGTTCCACTATAACTTTGATTATTTTAATTCATGGATCTGTTGTTATGGATGCCGTTTGATTTCTCGCGGCCTGGAGAAGGTTTTGGGATATGTATAGTTAGTTTTGATTTTTTGTAATTCATTTTTAGAAGTTGGCATAATTGTATTAATGTTCGGTTTTGTTGATTGCAATTCAAACATATCATACTAGCACAAAATATTTTGTTCATTCGGCGCAAAATTTACTGTTTGTCGTTTTGCTACATGCATCGAACACGAATCAAAAATAAAAAGAATTACATTGGTAATCCCGAACTTTTCCGTACCGTTGGCCTGCGTTGTCCGTAGGTACTTTTGGTTATTTTTTGTGAATTTTCTTGAAATAAAGGCAGTGAAAATATAATAATAAAAATAAAGTGAAAAATTCTCATTAGCTTTAAACTTTCTGAGGTTTCATTTTTTGGAGAAAAAATAAGATTCTGAAAGTTTCATCTTGATCGCATTAGCAGAAGTTTGGTTTTTGCCCCTCAATTTTTTCCAAGAAAATTTCGACAAAAATTGAGGACAAAAAATCAAACTTCTGCAGATGCGATCAACATGAAACTTTCAGAATCTTATTTTTTCTTCAAAAAATGAAACCTCAGAAAGTTTGAAGCCAATCAGAATCGATTAACGGGTACCTCCCATACAAAATTGTCCGAAAATCGGTCAAGATTTCAAAAAAAATTGTATGGGAGGTACCCGTAAATCGATTCTGATTGGTTTCAAAATTTCAGAATCTTATTTTCCTCCCAAAAAATGAATTCCCAGAAAGTTTGAAGCCAATCGGAGTCGATTTACGAGTACCTCCCATACAAAAGTGTCAATTTTTTGAGGTTTTTCTTAGGGCAAGTACCCCAGGATCAAATCGAAAATGGCTCATTTTCGAACTTAAACTAAGTTTTTCGAATACAAAACTTTTGGCATTTCCAGATTTTGATTATCTCAGTTATTTTTTGAGTTATAGTGTTTACAAACAGCTACGACGACGACAACGACGACAACGAGGACGACGGCACACGAACGGAAAAGTGTCTCAAAAAGTGGTTTTCTACGCGTTTCATGAGTTTTTATAACGATCTAAGCTAATTTTGCGAAAAAAGTTTTCGGGACCAATTCCTATACTTTCCCTTGACACGTTGTGTACGGAAAAGTAATAAACACATAACTGTATCCGACATAGCAATGGGAATAATGCAGAATCAGCATTTCGCTTGGTGTTTATTTGACAACATCACTTCACTGTTGGCATGGGATCAGTTTCTCATCGGTTTGCGAAAATGGCGAAAAAAAAGGAAATATATTGAAATAGTAAAAGACAAAGGCATTACGGTCGTCGCATGCAAGTGCACATTGAATTCATTGCTGAATTGAAAATTTTGAGGAAGAAGAGAGAGAGAGTACATTGTAGATTTTTTCACGGGAATTAGTGAAAAAGCCACAGTCATCACAAATCTGCTCAATAAAAAAAAACTACGCTACAAATATACCACGTGTATTCCCACGCGCACGCTACGTTTATACCATTTTCACGCTTACGCTTATTTTATACATAGTTTAATACAGAGTCGAAGGTATATTTAAGGGATATTTTTAGCGTGAACCGCATGCAAAGCATACGGATAGAATACTTTGACTTAGTGTATTCTATCCGTATGCTTTGCATGCGGTTTACACCAAAAATATGCATTAAATATACCTTCGACTCTGTATTAAACTATGTATAAAATAAGCGTAAGCGTGAAAATGGTATAACGCTACGCGCAGGGAATACACGCGGTATATTTGTAGCGTAGTTTTTTTTTATTGAGTGGCTTCGTTACTTTTTCTGTATCAAGTGAATCGTGCAACGTACGATAAGATCAATGGCGACACCGACTATTTCTGCTTGAGGCTGTTGTCGAACCAAAAAAGAAAAAACTCGAAAATTGTATGAAAATGCCGATCGTATATCGCCAAATGGTTGGAGAAGAAATCGGCATCGACTTCCAGTGGCCAAAGTCTGAAGACCTGGGAAATGTCTTCAACGAGTTGTACGTTGTGTATACAACCAACACGAAGAACAACATTTTCGCACATCGCTGGAAGCGGGCCCGAGTTTGACGATGTGGAGCCAGACGATCGAGTGTTAATCAATGACGCCGATATCAACGCGTTGTTGAAATATTTGTTTTTCCAGCGTCCATTGAATCCTGATTCCGACTTAAAGGAAAATTTGTATGAAGATTTTCTGGAGCAATTGCAAGCAATTGGTGGTCCAGCAAACAATAACATGTTCGATTTCGTTACAACTCATTGGTTTCAATCGTTGTACATGTTTTGTCGCATTCATCTTATACAAAGGTAATATTTTGATTGGCATGTAAAGACGTACTGCGATAAAAGTCTATATAAACAATGTTATTATATTTGACAATATTTGACTCGATGTCAATGACGATGTGGCAGCGCCACCTATAGAGATTCCTTATTAAAATAAGTGGAACTATTGAGTGCGTGCACCATATCGCACGTAAATTTTCAATATGGCGGCGCCCATAGAATTGAAAAGTTAACCGATTTCGTAGTCGCAAATTATCGCTGTACGTGTAAAGATGGAACAGAAAATGTTGTTATTATACATTGTTATTTGTGATTTCAGGTCTTTTTGAGCTGTTTAATGGATACACTCCCGACATATTTCTACTGGATCGTGGGCTCCAAATACACTTCGATGGGTTCAATACATACGTGGCTGTGACGCAGTAGAACGCAGCAGCATTTTAGTTTTAATTTTGATTTTTCGATTTTAATAGGGGAACTATGTGTACGTTGACCCGCACTAATCATTTTAGTCATAACTTTTTATGGAATGAAGATAAATGTACACTTAATATTAAATTGGAAAGAGAGCCGGAAAAGCTACAATTTGATAAGGAAATTCATTAGTTTTGGTTGTAAAAACAAAACATTTCGGTCAATTTTCTAAGAGGTTTGATTTTTGGCAACAAAATTTTTTCTTTCTAAGTTGACCCACCCTATTTTTTTTTTTAGAAAAACATGCAGTTTTAACACTCAATATATGGAATCCATTGAATTTCGTTGGATTTTCAATCGTTTTCGGCCTTTACAACTACGAAAAACAATGAAAAAATGTAGAAAAATATAGAAATAGTAAAAAAATACCTACATATTCTCTATTTTTTCATATTTCATCGATTTTTTCGTGTTTTTCAAATCTGAAAACGATTGGAAAATCATTAAAATTAAATGAATCTCGTATATTGAGTGTTTACGCTGAATAGTTGTCTCATTTTTCTGATTTTTGTCGGGTGGGTCAACTTACAAAATTGGTCGACATTTCAATATGCACGGAAAGAATTTCGCCATGTAATGATATGTGTGAAATGACTTCGGATTATGAAAATACACGAAAAACTAGTAAAGAAAGCTTATACTCGCTTTGCTGATATCTTTGAAATTGACTACTTGATGATGGTCCGAAAAAATTTAGTTTTTATAAAAATGATTTTTTTTTTTTGCAAAAAATTTTTATGAGCCGATCCGAGCCGTTTAAGAAGCGTATTCACTCTTGGGAACTACTTTCATATTGGTTTTTAACGTTTCTAAATCGATTGAGACTAGCCAAATTGACGATTTGTAGGTCAAAATACAAAATCGGCGGGGTGGGTGAACTTACAAAGTGGGTCAACTCACACATACTCCTCCTAATAATTCATGTAACGTTAAGTTATTCTGCTGGGAGCTGATTTTGTGCCCATGCCAAAATACCTACCGCTGTGTCGGCTTGCATCTAATAAATTAAAAACTGCACATTTCAAACAGAAAAAATGTGTTACTGTGAACAAACAAAAGTTAGTTTTTTCATTTAAAATATTTATTACACAGAAGTTTCCGATCAATCTCAAACTTTTTGTAATCCTGTCTTTTGGTGAAAAAATAAGATTTTGAAAGTTTCATTGTGATTGAAATATCATAGGTGAGTTTTTAGCCTTCGATATTATATTAAATTTCCTTGAATTTGCAACTAAGTCATTACGCTTGACTGCCAATTCTCACCAAACCAAAGCACATATTTTGGATATTTCGTATAGTATTCCTCTACAACATTCAGAATAGAAACTGTACCCGACTCAACGATATGCTGTATTTTTGGAGGCTCAAAACGCTAAAATGTGGATTAAAAGTCTTGTTTTTGGAATGATATTTGTACAAAGAGTGCTATAACTTTGGGTAGAATTGAGATATCGAGACAAATAGAGACTTAAATGAAAGATTTTGAGATCCTCTATCACAATCTTCTAAGAATTACTAGCTTATCACTACAAAAAAATTTGATTTTTGAGAAAAACGCGCCTGGAATATGCTGAAATTGCCACAGCGATGAAGCTACAACCAAAATAGAACGTATTTCCGAAGTAAACATAAGACGAGCTCTACTGACACGACGCTTATGGTGATAGTTGAATATTTCAATCACATAAGCGTATGCATGGCCGATAATAAAGTAAACATTCGTGCAAACCGTATAAATCCTATGCTAGCGTATCTGTATTGTATGTATGACCACTAGAGGCAGGTCGAAGATCTTGATAGACATTTCAATTTACGCCGGTTTTTTTTTTTATTAAAATTTGCATGGCTCATTTTTATGGCCAACCTCCTTAAAAAAATCAATCATCAGATGTTAAATTCGGAAAATTGATAGATATAGATATAACTTACTAGATAGTAAGTTCTAGAATAAAATACAATTCCATTTCGGACAATGAAACAACGTTTTTTTTTATTCTGTTTCAGTTTGCTAGAATGTAGCCAAAAAGTTTATTTTTCTCTCGTATTAATTCTTCTGAATGTCTCCATCGATTTCATTGTATGAAGCTGGTGATCCAACGGGTTTGATGGATTCTGCATTATTATTTGGGATGAATGGAGCTTTTGGAACGAGTGGACCTAGATTAATAAATCAAATGAAATGAATTTAGTCAATAAATGTTGCAAATATTTATTCTAAAGCAATTTTGGTTCATAACAATCGACAAAAGTGATAATTACTTACTCAGTCATCATTACCTTCTGGGTCATCTGGGGCAGCTTCAGTTGGTTTATTAAGTTCAGCTGGTTTGAAGTTTTCAATTGGTTTGACTGTAGCTGGAGCTGGGGTTGAAAGTGCTGGAAGTGATTCCTGTGATTTTTGAGTTGGAGCCGATTTGGCTTGTTTGGCATCTGTGATAACAGCATCATCAGAGTTTTGGTTAGATTCCAAAGCGGTTGAAGATCCCAAACCAGTTGAAGATCCCAAACTAGTTGAAGTTCCGAAACCTGGGAACAAGCTTGAGTCAATTCCACTCAAACCACCGTAGATAGAATCATATCCAGAATAATATCCGGGAAATCCGGACAATCCTGAGAGTCCTGGGTATCCTGAAAACCCTGTGATAAGAGACGATTAGAGACAACATTAAACTCACATTTTGCATCCATACACAAGTCTATACAAACTGTATATGTTTCATTAAGGTTGCCTAGGGATTTACATACAAAATTAGACAATACCTGTGGATAATCCTGAGCTGTAGAACGAAGACGGAAGACTGTAGTGCGAGTCGAATGTAGAATCGTAAGCAATGCTTGATGGGGCTGAAACTTTAATAAAATTTATTTGTAAAAATATGAAATTATCTTAATATGAATAGTTAGACTTTACGGAAAGAGCTTGAAACCAATGGAGAAGCTGTAGCTGAAATGAATGGAGCGGCTGTGGCAATTGGGGCAAAAGTTGGTCCGACAGTTGAGGGAAACTGGAATAACAAACATAGAACAATATCGTACAGGAATATCAAAGATTGTGATTGAACGCAATTCCAAGAAAGTATATGCGATTCACTTTCATGTTCAGAAAAATAGACAATGATGTATTGCATTTTGAAGATCACATTTATCTGAAAGTCATTACCTCATAAGTAGTCAGAGAAGGAACTGACAAAGCCTGTAAATCAAAATAGTTGTACAATGTTAGTTAGTAAATGAAACTACTGGCAACATACGAAATTTCCATTTTTATAAGCGTTCAGCAACATTTTTTTGAAAATATCACCGTTATGATTCACTATTTATGCATATTTAGTAGGTCTTTGAACATCTTACACCAAATGATGAGTATGTTGAAATCGATGGGAATAGTGAAGATGAGAATGAAGCGAACGCATCCTGACCCATTGAATTAGCTACAGGTTTGATGGTTGTCGACGCAGCTGGAGCTGGAGTCGATGTTGGTTTGAGTTCTGACACATCAGCACTAACGGCAGCAATACAAGCAAGAATCACTAGGAATTTCTGACAAAAATTACACACAAAATTAATCACAAATCAATTGTAGACACCAAGTAATCCATAAGAACATAGTTTTGTTTTGCACAAATATCATACAAAATCTCACCATTTTGTTTTAGCCTCGGATACAACCTAACCGAAAATGTTAAAACCTCTGAATGGCTTGAAATTTTGTGGTTCCGCATCTTTTATACTCAAACGGCCATGATGATGATAAGATGACTGTTGCGATAATATGAAACCGGTAATATGCGTTTTCTATTCTGAATCACACAATTGAAATTTGGTATCTGGTCTTGTTTTAGTGTCAGTATTCACTGCTATTAGCAAAATTAATGTATTCGAAAGAGAAATGTTTCGCAATCATGCATATATAAATCGAATTCAAATTGTGTGTTATTTTGGTCTTTGACGGATACACTGAACTTCGATTGACGTGCCTTCTTTCGCATATAAAATTACTTGTGCTAATGAAAACACGATTGGCATTTATTTTTATTGCTGAGCTGAGAGATGTCTTCGCCAAATCTTTCTGTATAAATGAATCCTTGAGAAATGAGAGAATGTTTCATCTCTTGCTTTGCCTACTTTGAAGTTCATATGTGCGCGCTTGTGTTTATTAAATAATTTCGTGGGCGAACTGAGGAATTATATTCGGAAGAATGATGCATTTTTCCATATCTAACTGTGAACTAAGTCTACCGACATTGAACCAAAACAAATATGCAAAGACCTGCAGATAATAAGTTAAAAATCCGTAATCTGTATGCTGTTAATACTTCTCAATCAAATCATAAATATTTTCGTAAAAACACTCACACATTTGTCGATCGTTATATCGCTTTCATTCGATCAGATTAAAATTGGTTTCGATTTTACCGAATTCTAAATAAACTGGTTTTTGCAAAAGAATATTTAAAAACCAGGCCATATGATTCAACTTCAGACCTTTCTTTATTTTATAGAAATGTTCTGCGTTTTATCATTGAGCATCAATCAATTAAGCACAATTCCCAAATGTTTGACATTTTACTTGGTTAACTTCAGTAATCATTTCGACGAAACCATCTGAAAGTGGTTCGATTATTACCATTCTTGTTTTCACTCACTCACTCATTTGTTCGTCACTCACGAAAAACCAAACCTGATATTCTTCGCCGTAATAAATCGGTATTTACGTAATCTGAAACGTTACAATTGAAAAGGAAAGGAGAAGAGCTATAAAAATATATACACTTTGGACGTCAATATAATTTTCGTGGTTTTTTCTGCACATAATTTGTTTTTTTCGTTCACTTTGGTTCAGTGAAATATGCCTTTTTTATGGGTGTGTTTTCTTTTTGTAATTAAATAAAGTTGCAGCACACAAGTTTATAATAGCCTTTCGCTGAAAAAAAAAAGAACAAAAGGTAAAATCTGATCTAAAATCTAAATAAAAATGCGTTTTTTTTCGCAATAAAATGTGCAGTTTTTGAAAATGCACGGATATTTTTTTTATTGTCAATATAACCGAAAAATGTGGAAATTTGTAAAAAAAAATGAAGAAAAAGTCAATTGTAAATTTGTTAAATCCGTATCCATTCATATTCAAGTAAGATGTTTTCATCATTAAAAGTTCATATTATCTGTTAATGGGACATCGGTTTTATATTATCATAATTCATTATATTTATTACTATATATATATATAGGGTAAAACAATAATTTAATAGCTTAGGCTTAAACTAAGAAAGTTATCGAAAATTTTAGGAATTAAAAAAAAAAACAATTTTAAAGCAACAATTATATAAAACATTTATACAAAAAGATTATACCATACAGAGATCGCATGCATATTCACAAACTGCGTTTTCCAATCGAATTGCATGTGATTTCTGTGTGACATGACTTCTATTTTAATAAACGCTTCATCTCTTCCTTTGTTACTTTCATCTTTTTGCATCTTTGCCAAGAAAAAAGAAGATATATTAGTTTTCTACATAACCTATATCTATACATGTTGTCATAATAATTATTTTGTTGTTCATTATTTCGAGGAATAAATACACATTTTGTAATAACAGATTGATGGTTGTTAATTAATCTTGCTTTAAGCCACGTGGAAGTTATTTAGTTGTTCAATTATTATCTTCTTCTCAAGATAAACATCGCCAATAGGGCGAGATTCTGTTGTAGTTTTGATAATGAGCTCAGCTCGTTTTTTTTTCTTCTTAATGACACGATAGAAGCAGAGAAAATGAAATAGATCGTAGCCATCCAAGATATATGCTGCTGCAATATAGAGATAATATAACACAATCTCTGCCATTCTACATATATACTTTCATAAAATTAAAGGTTAAATAGTCAGATCTTTGTATAAAGTGCAGCTAATTTCCATCAATACATTTGCTCTGATTGTGTCAATGAAATGGGAAGAATAACGTAGTCGAACATTTGCAATTCAATTTGAATATTAAAATGAATTCGTTCCAATTCACAAAACACGAGATATGAAATATTAAGCACATAACACTTTAAAGAAGCAGCCTGCTGCGCAAACACATCGAATACTTGTTGCACGTCGAAAAATAATCCGATTGCGATAGAAATCCGAGTTATCACCGCGGTCTCTCCGTCTCTGTCATATTTTTAGGAGCAATTCTGATTAATTTAGTCTTTTGTTGAGCGGTTGTAGCTCTTGTTATACGAGCGCGCGTTGTTTTCGATGAAATTGGAGTAGTAACTGTTAGACTCTTGACTTGTGATACGGGAGAAGGTGCGGTCGTGGTCGTTGTCGGAATACGATCCAGTTCTGTCATCGCTTCTTGAATGGCTTTTTCCAGCTGTGAGTTCAATTTTCGGCCCCTGGAAATGTATAAATAATGATTGTTTAATTCTCAATACCATGGTAGTAAATAGTGTAATAAATTCATTTTCATGCAAGATTTGAAACTAATTCTATGCCATTCTTTTAGAAGTGCTCTACAAAATCAAAGCATTATATGCAGAAAAAATAATTCTAAACATCGGAATCAATACAAATGCAAAATAATATGTCTAATTCACAGAACGAGCTCAAGTTTGTGTCCAATAAAACAATATTTAAACATATTGGAATTTTTACAATGTTCTCAATTTTTCTTATCAAAACGTCTTTTTTTTTCTTTTGTATTAATCATGATTTGATTTTCATTCTGTAGGTTATTTGTTCGTTTGTTTGGTTTTTTAATACAAACTATAGCTTGGAAGTCTTAAAATTACAATATTCTCACTTTCGATTATCCTTTTGCGCTTTGTGATGAGCGTCCAATCCTTCAGACAAACTTTTCAGTGATGAAATTTGAACCAGTTCAATGCTTGGTTTACCGCCAAACCATCGTACCCAACATGTTGAATCACTTTGTGGTGTATAACTATTTGTAGTCGGATTTTTTACGATTTTTCCCGGCCAAGCGGTGTGGCCCCGGACGGGCCCTCGGCTAGGATCTCCCCAAACCAGTTCACCAACAGAGAACGTAGTCGGTGGACTTGTACACACATTTGACGGATTGGTTGATTTTGAGTTGGCACTTGCTGCTTGTGATATTTGCGATGATTCTGCGAGTTTTTTGAGTGGTTGTTTAGATGGGTATTTGTTTGGATGTATTTGATTTTAACAATAGTGAGAGGCATCAGGTTAATGTTTATCTCCATTGATGTGTGCAATGATTATGTGATGTGTATTTTTTAATGTATAAATAATGAATGTGCATCACAAGGTAAGAATTTATGACATGAATTGGTCACATATATGTAAAACACCCTGTGATATTAACTGCCATAAACGTGTACCATATGTAAAATTAAATTAAATCTTGCTTAAAATTATGGAAATGTACCGTTTTCAGCTTAGCACCAATTATTTTCAGTTTGCATTATATACATAGTTAATTATTGTATTAATTGTAGTTATTTTTTTTCTAATTGGACCCTGTTTTTAATTTCTTTGCATTGATCAGTCACAATTAGATTCCAAACATTGATTTAGTGATTGATTTGTTTTTGGAATGATTTTGGACAAGCTGAATTCAATAGGAAGCATATGAGACTGGTGCGACAAAAAGTTGGCTTCGAAATATTTTTGTTGTGTAGATTCTACACTGTAGAATGCGAAATATTTTTTTCATGTTGCACCATGGCATAATTTAAGGAATTTCGATTTTTGAGTATTGACAACTGCCATTTGATCTGGGGCGATTAAAGGTTCAAATATCCGAATAAATGATGAAGCTTGGAATATCTAGTCTAAGTTTTAGTATATCAGACCGATGGATTTAATTGCCAAGTATTGGAAATTGCAATGGGTTTGTGGGCAGTAGGTTGTTGTTGTTGTAATCCTGACTGCCCACAAACCCATTGCAATTTCCAATACTTGGCAATTAAATCCATCGGTCTGATATACTAAAACTAAGACTAGATATTCCAAGCTTCATCATTTATTCGGATATTTGAACCTTTAATCGCCCCAGATCAAATGGCAGTTGTCAATACTCAAAAATCGAAATTCCTTAAATTATGCCATGTGTTGCACTTAGAACAAAAATATTCCGAAGCTCGACGATTCCACAACAATTGTAATTATTTTCAGAATCGACCAGTCAAAACAATTCTGTCACTGCCAAATTTCGTACTAACACAACCAAATGTTTTTTCAACGAAAAAATTCTTTTCAGCGCTAAAAAAAACAATGGTATAGATCCAACCTTTTTTCGTGTGTGCAGTGGCACGACTTTTCAAACAACCGACTACGATCAAGAACTGGGGGAGATGAATTAAATGAAGTGGGAATGTTCAGCAAGTGGGCTTTTTACGAGCTTTTCAAATATTATATCGGTTCGAAAGTAAAGTTAAGAGCCTGAATGGGCACTCAGAGGTTGGGTGTAGAACATTTTCTTATAGCCCCACGATTCTCTATTCAACCATGTAAACATTTTCAGGTTATTATTTTACACTTTTTATAATACAAAATTATCTGCAAAACACTTTCATCGAATTCATAGAAAATGCAAGACACCCTAATTTTCAGATGAGAATGGATGGGTACCCTAAGGGTGCAGTCACACTAGGAAACATGGATTGGAAACATGTTTCCAGTTCCCCATAAGATCCTGTGTTCATCAAGACTTTGTTTCCACTAAAATGTTTCCTGTAAACAAAATTACATTGGACCTTATGGGATGTTTCCAATCCATGTTTCTTAGTGTGACTGCACCCTAATACTGTGGCTTTGATCATACCAAGTTTATACACCAAATTTGAGCGAAATCGGAGAGTTCGATTCTGAAAATTGTTACAGTTGGTGTGGGATCGTCGAGCTAACTTTTTGTCGCACCAATTCGAATAGTAATAAATTTATTTTGGTTGCATTTATTGCAATAACAATTATAATTTGAATTGAACAATTTAAAATCTGGTCGACGATTGGAAATAAAAAAAAAAGACATTTTGGCGCTGGATACAATTTTTCGATGTTGGCCCGACAAAAAATTTGCGAAAAAATTGACAAAGCTGAATTTGCAAAGTGAAATGCACATTTTTAAAGTGCTTAAATAATGCACTACACAAGATTCCGACCAACACGAATTTAAAAATTTTCAAAGCATACATTTTTATCGCAACCATTTATTTTTGCAAATGAAAAATTGTAAACAGCCGGATTTTTTTTGTTTAATGGAAAACAATCAAATTTTCTACATAAATAATAATTAAAAGCGCTACGTATATATTTTGGTTACATGGTTAGTTGATGAAAATGAATCCAAATGTGCAAATATGTATGTGTGTTAGTGATTCCGTATATTTTTTAGTTTACTAAATGAAATGAGTGCATGCATATATAGCTACTGATTACCCAAATGATAAGTACGATGAAATTTAGAGTTATATTCAGCCAGACACTTGGTGGTGTCAATAAATAAACCAATTTGTTGGATGAGCGGTTTTGAAATTCTGAACTCACCATGCGAATCCGGTTTCATTTTGAACACATTTCCATTGTTAGAATACGGTGTGGGTGTCTTAATACGCCTGAATTTCGTTTCGTTTGGTTTGAATAGGGAAGTCATTGGATACGAATTATCTTGGGGATGAAAATATCGCACATTATTTAATCTTTTTTTTTTTTTTTTCAATTCAAAACTTGAACTTTAAATGGTAGAATTTCTTACTGGTATTGCGATCATAATCACTCGATGGTGATTGGGCACTGTCAGCCACAGGTGAGACCACTGAGTCAGGTTCCGAACTCGAAACAAATTGGACCTAAAGAGCGAAAGAATTTAAGAATTGATTGAAAAAAATGATAAACAATAAGCGGTGGTTTGGTAACTCAACATGAAAATGTGTTCATATATAATGTATACATAGTATTATTATTACCATATTTATATCACTTGCGATGCTTCTCTGGCTCTCCGGTCGTTCGGGACTACGTGGACTGTGAGTCGTGGTATCGGGAGGTGATGTAGTGACTGTATTAGCCTGCGTTGTTTGTGTGCTAACTGATTGAGGTATATTCGCTGACAGCTCCGGTTCGCTCATCGAGTTGCTGTTATTCATCATTGTCGTTTGTTGTTGAACAATAGTTGTACTTTGTTGAACGAATGCCGGACCATTCGATTGGGGAACGACTAAACCGACGGGTGTGCTAGCGTACATCTGACCGATTGGGCTAATCTGCCCGTTTACGATAAACTGCTGATTTGCACTATTCGGCGATAAAAAGCTCTTATTCTGAACAATGCCTTGCGGGGTGAGAAGACTACATGGAGCAACGTTTTGGATCTGTAGCACCGTGTCTGATGTCATCATCAGTCCGGCAGGCACCAGCAACTGTTGGCCGATCAAATTCAATGGCTGTAAAATGGTTTGTCCGTTTTGAAGTAGAATTTGTTGCTGCAAATGAAAATGAAATGCTCGTAAGATTTTGTTCAATATGGCTACCTTGACTGAATACTAACCTCAATCGTTGTTTGGAAACTTTGAGATTGGTGATACTGTGGAGTGATTTGAAGAACCGTAGCCTGTTGTGAAGGTGTTTGAATAGTTGGCGATTGTTGAGGTGAATTACTTTGTGGTGATACCGATGTGCTCTTTCGTTTCTTAACACGTCGCTTCGAATCCGGCGATAAAATAATTCTCTGTTGCGTTTGCTGCACAAATTGGTTTCCATTGTCCGAATTAATCACATTCACTACTTGACCATCGACCGTTGTAAACGATTGTGGTTGAATAACGTAGCTCGCATTCGAGAGTTGATTTAGTACAATGCCGCTGCTGTTTGGTGACAGCAAGGTGCCCGAATTGTTGCTTCCAATGAATTGATTGTTGGTTGCAATGACATTGGGCTGGTTCGTTAGGATATTGGTTGGACTCAAAAGGTTTCCAGCATTCGAAAGCACTTTTGTTGCATTTGCTGTGGCCAATATATTATTCGCATTTCCTTGTATTACATTTTGACCTGGGTGATGTAACACATTGGCATTGTGTGACAGCAAATTTGAATTATTTAACAACATCGGTTGAATGGCATTTGGTGAGCTAACAATGTAGTTTGAATTTGCATTATTCGTGGTGATCACATTATTTGACGGCTGCATTAGATTTGGACTTTGTATGACAACATTGTTGCCTGCTCCTTGTATTATATTCGAATGAGCTGGTCCATTGATTGAGCTATCATTGATCCCTTGCATTATTTCGTTGCCGATCATGTGCGCATTTTGAGGATTAAGTGTAACGTTTTGTTGATGACCAGACCCGCTATTAACAACCAGTGTGTTTGCATTCGTCGGCTGACCAATGATCATTTGATTTGAACTCTTGTTGCTTTGTGTTGGCATCACTAAAATTTGACACCCGGACGAAGTCATGATAATTTGATTGGTCGGCTGTTGAATTTGTATATTTGGCAGATGCGTTGGCGATGATGTCGATGATGTATTTTCCTGTACTATCGGATGAATCGTTCGATTATTGGAATTCTTAATGTTCATGCCAACATTTGTATTAACGGTGGTATTATTTGTTTGTTTGGTTAAGTGCACCGTTTGGGCTGGTCGCAGAATCCGATTCTCATGAATTTGAATACTTATCCCACTGTCATGTGACCGATTTCTATCGTTTGACAATCCAAATTGATTTGTAGTCGTTGTGGATGTCATTGCTTTCCCCGCAAGCACTGATGTTATAGTGTTTTTGCCACTCGTTTGCCCTGCAACGTAGACGCTAGCATGCAATTTATTCGGATGGCTGTCAGCTTGTGAATCATGGTTCATTGCAGATGTTTCTAGTGTAACGGATGTATCCGGACTTGAAACCGGTGGACTCTCGTTACTCGTCGAAATAGTACCAACCTGTGATGGTCCTCTGTCAGTCGTTAAGTTCGAGTGGAATTCAATTAATGCCGGTTTGTTAACCGTACTCGATGAAACGGGTGAATCCTGTGAGACAGACACAACTCGTGTTAGAGTATTGTGCTTTTGGGGCAACATATATTGGTGATCGTTAAACTTTGATTTGCTGATGCTGCATGTCGACTGATTTGATTTCATTAAGATAGTTTGTGGCTGGCTTTTCACTTCATTGATATCACAGTTATGATGAACTTGGACCACACCATTCGGCGAATGAGTAACATCGATCGGTAGACCATTGTTTTCGGTATCATCTTTGTTCGATCCTCTTGTTTCTTGATCAGATTGCGACATGACAATTGTTTGCTGAGTTGTAACTACTTTTGGATATTGGCCAAGACTAGAAAATTGTTGAGATTGAGGTTGCTGCTGGCTAATTGCTGCGTTCGACTTTGATTGATGATAGGATTTTGCATGAATTTGTACTGTTTGTGTTTTCAATAGATTTTGGACGCGCTTTCCGCCAATAAATTCATTACCTTTTGCGATTGGATGTGAAATCGGCGCCTCGGTTGGATTATTTGAGTTGGGTGAAAAATCATTTGGATTGGAATAAATATTTTGCACTATCCGCACCGGTTGTCCATTGGATCCAATGATCATTTGATTTTTTGAAATGATATTACTATCAAATTGCTGTATGTACACATTTTGATTTTGCTGCTGTTGCTGCATCACAGACATTCGTTGCTGCTCATCATTGTCATTGGAGGCGATTTCACTCGGCATATTTTGGCTATTCACCAAATTAACCGTATCAGCCGACGAACGTGAGCTTCGGCTGGTCTGCATCGGCGATTGGCGATAAGTATTTTGTGATGTAGAATCAGTCGATTCATTGTCCTGTAGTTCCGGACTATGAACATTGAGAATCGAGCTATGAAGAATGGCGGTTTGATGGTTAAGATAACCGGTTGGATCTTCTTTAAAATTTGGTCGTTTCTTCGCATTAATGCGCCGATTTTGAGTTTCATTTTGCCACGGTGGTTGCGTTTGTGTTTGCATTAGATGCTGTGGTAATGGAGGCACACGACTGTTGGCATTCGATATGGTGGTATTTTCACTGTTTTGTCCAACAACACTTTGTAGCGATGGTTGCTGTTGTTGTTGTTGATTCAAAATGGAATTCTTTCGCCATGGAGGCGTTCGGGACACGGTTACGCTCTCAATTTGATTTTCCAATGTGTCGCTTTGTTTCGACGTGAAAACTGCATCCTGACCCGAAGCTTGTGAAATTGAACCGGTATTCAATACAGTATTCACATTCAGTTTTTGATTTGATGATAAATAATGGCTGAAGTTGGTTGACTGACCGGCTACAACTTGAAGAAAGAATGAAATTAATTAATTTTGAATCCACCTTACTCATTTGATTAAAAATTTTATTCAACTCTGTAAGCGGTACAGACATTTAAACCGAATGAATGAATGGTTCGTTCGATGACATCTCTACCTCTAGTAGAGTAAAATTCAATTTTTATCACGCCTTGGCCAGGGGCCTTATATGTAAAACTATCCATATCGTATATATACTATTCTATGTAAATTCGTTGCTTAGCGAATTATTATAAGCATTGTTACCAAAATGAAAAACAGTCGAGACACAAACCGTATACAAGTTGTCGAGTGTTCGTCTGTACTGTTTTTCGGTTTGTGTTTATGTTTAACCCTTTGATGCATAATTTTTTGTTTTTGAATCATTTTGACATATGTTTTGTGCCACCATAAATAGAGAAAAACCTCATACTTAGATTTTTGAAAAATTGCGTATTTGTCGAGAAAATCGGAAAAGAGTCAAAAGTGTCAAATCACTATAAAAGCTTGAAAAAATTAAATTTCATAAAACTAATGATGCAGAAAGTTAAATTGATGTGTTTTGGTCCTACGAGTCCTAATTTGACAATTGAAAAGAATGAACAAACCCACAAGATAAGAGGAGGAAAAATGTGGAATTCTGCTATAATTTCGCATTTTTTTTACAGCAGTACATGAACAGAAAAAACTTTCCATTCAGCCAGCCAATTGTAGCCTGTAAAGTATCAAATGAAAGCTAGTTCAATTCCCTACATTTGTTTTCAAACAAGAATGTAAAAATATTCAGTGGTTTCATAGCTATAGCGTCTGGCGTATCTGGTTACTTTAGGAACCGAAATGTGATAAAGGGTTAAACACAAAACTTGTGATATCAATTTTAAAAAATCATTTCGGACCTAGTTAGATTAATGCAAAATAGACAAATTAAAATCGCTCCGAAATGATTTTTTTTAAAATTGATATCAAAAGTTTTGTGTTCGCTTTCGGCACGAAAATTGACTTTAGTAAAGTTTTTCATTTGATATAAATAGCGGGAAAAAAAATGTCTACTCTGATGGGATACACGAATCACTTATAAGAAAAATAAACTAACCGAAAAAGTCTTTCATTCATCAAAACTTTTTTAGTAGTTAAGATATTTAGTTATTTTATAATCTTTTCGCAAATTGCTCAATTTTCCTAGACATTGATAATAATACAAAAAAAAAATATATATATATATATATATATATATATGCACACCACTGGAATGCATTTATGCATATAAAATTATGCAATTATGCAATGCCAGTTTTACTAACCTTTTGATAAATGATTATGTTCCTCAATTAGCCTAGTGTGATGCAAGCAATATGATGTAGGATTTGATGTTTGTCCTGGAGGTATTTGTAATGGCGAATTAGGAACCTGTAAAAATTGAAATACAATACTCAATTATTTGTTCAACGATCTACAATATATTCATATCTATCACACTTATTTAAATGCTGCAAAGTTTCATTTGACAAATAATGTAAAGCCATTAACACTCTAGTGCATACAACCGCCTTTAGACGGGCAACATTTGAACGCCTGTATAATGTAAACCATACGTCGAATTATATTGCTTCAAACACACAGACAATTATACTGAGATGCCTTATTGAATAATCCTGTAGTGTTCGCATTCATAATGTTTCACTGTAGTAGTTTATTAAATTCACTTGTGGTGCAGATGTTTGACACTTGTCAAACTCAGTTGAGTTTTAAACAATGGAATAAATTGTCCTCTGATTTATGTCTGTCGCATTTTCTGACTAAACCATGGAGAATCCAGGATTATGAATATTTTTTTAATTATGTATGGCCAAACAATGAGAAAAATGACTAGAATGACATTTGATTTGGCGCCACCTGTAAGTAGGAAGTATTTTGCCATACAAATACGTTCAATTGTAACTGTCATTGGTTGCTGTCATTGATAGTTGACAGTATATTTATATAGGAGTTTCATAGTTCAGCATTCAGCGCCAAGATGTCGCTTAAATATAGCATAAACACGTGCTCCATATAAAAACATAGGCAAATTTTATCATTGGGCCAAAAATCAACCAAGTACCAGCACTCCCAGCCCTGGGAAAAGTTATTGCACTAGAGTGTTAGGCCTAGAAAATAAACTATCTTGCTTCTAAATGTTTTCATATAAAGTGATATGGTGTTGTACCCGAATGTGAGCCACCATTTTTCTTTTGACCATAAAAGCGTCAAAAATTTGAAATTTTGTACATCTGATGGCACTATTTTGTAGAGGAAGGAAAATCCCAACTTTCTGCATCATTCGTTTTTCAAAATTTTCATTTTTTCCCAACATTTTTTGGATTTTTCCAACATGCTGATTTTTTGACTTTTTCAAAACTGTACCCTAATGTGAGCCACCCCCGAAATTCATCGAAAAAATGCATAAATATCCACATAAATCATTTTAAATGTTGAATCAACAATCCTTTAAGACAAATAAATGAAGATATGAACAAAAAAAATTACACTCAAATGTGAGATCCATCGATTTCATGCCAAACCAAAAGGGTAGGTGCGTGGTACACTGTTCGCTGTACACTGTATGTAAAAAATACGAATCTGATCTACCCTGTCATTAAGGTCTGATTGAAATACGAATCTAATTTAAATTTAGAATTATATGTGTGGGAGTGTAGGAAAGTTAACCTTACGAATGTAGGGCAGCTTGTTTTGAATTGTGATAAAAGTCATGAAAAATCGAAAAATGATAGACAACAAAAAGATTTTTGGAACTTTTTCAATGAAGTGAAGATGCCAATCTTGATCTCTTCACAAAAATGTAGGTAAGAACATACACATGCATATTCTAATATGACCGACTTTGACGACAAAAATTGATATTTTGGCTGGTCGGATCAAAAAGTTATGTGTAAGGTAAAGTCGGGTCAGTTGGGACACTGTCATTCTCTTGACATCTATCAGTCATAACCAAACGAAACTTTTGGAGAGTTGATTACACGCCAAATGAACGCTGTTTAGTGTTTTCACAGCAGTAAAAGCATGTGCGAAATTTGAATAAAAAATGTGTGCGAAATTTCAGAAAAAAATTCTGAAAAATCGTTAAAAGTTGTCGGGTCAGTTGGGACGGTTGACTGTAGGGACTGTAACTTTCATTTGGGTAGGAATTTTCCGAAGATTGGAGTATCATTGGAAAGTTAAAGCCCGAAGCTGAATTTTTGCTGAAGAAAGTCTTTCGATTTTGTTACTGGAGAAAAAGTTATGTCAATTCTTTTGGGTGGTGTCCCAACTGACCCGACAACTTTTTTTTTGGCCAAAAGTATGACACTTGTAAAAATCGACATAACTTTTTTTTCAGCAACATAATCGAAGGACTCTCTTCGGCGGAAAGTTAGCTTTGGTGAATACCTTTCCAACGGTACCATATTCTTTGAAAAATCTTTATCCAAATGAAAGTTCTTACTTCCAAGGCTAACCCGTCCCAACTGACCCGACTCTCCCTTACCACTGAAAAGGTATTGAAAAGTAAATGTCGTTTTTGGTATAGAACATCAAAATCGGCCGTTTGAATTTTTCGGCCAAAAGTGATAATATGGCCATATCTCGTCCAAATGGTGATCGATTTTGATTTTTTATACCAAAAATGACATGTGCTTCTCGAGATCTTTCCAAAGATATACATTTACTAGTTCCCGAAAAAAATTTTTATACACATTTCATGAGAAAATGTAGATGGGCATCCATTGCCCAGATGTACGGATTCTGTATAGTGGTTTTTTTGCACATACGTGAAAAAGAAATGACTATGTGTGCGTGTGTATGTTACATATGTGTAGTTAAGTGTTCAACGAATCGATCGATAGTATTCTTATTCATATACGACGAAAAATACCAAATCAAGATCATCTTGTGATTGTTTGTATGTGGTTGTTTATTGTATAATAAAGATATCATAGGGAAAGTGCCACTATACATTTCAAATGTAAGTCATTTGACACATAGCAGTCAATGCCATCTCAATTTCAACTCATTGAATCATTGAATTTTTCGGCAACTTTTTCCAAACGTGTATGGCTTTACTAGAATATAATCAACTTTACGGCGACGCTAACAGCTTCTCTGTGGGCCAGTACTACGCGTTAGCCAAAACGTATTGATGTTTCGCAATGGTTACTCGATGCATTTGCCAAAATACTATGATTTTTGTACTCTCTTCTACGATGTGTGTGCAGAGAAGCTGCTAGTGTCGCCGTAAAGTTGATTATATTCAACTCAAGCCACACACGATTGAAAAAAGTTGCTCGAAATATTCGATGATTCAATAAGTTGGTTTAGAGATGTCATTGGCTGTCTTTTGTTATTCCGGCAATATATTTATGAAAGATATAAGCATTGAAAGTTGGCTTTGGGCACACAGTGCCCAATGTACGGGTTGAAGTTCAACTTGAAGGTTAATATAAAAAAGTAGCGAGTCTTTCAATTCATGAATGATTTTCATACTGTATGTTATTGTTCAGAGAAAATAAACGGATGTACAATTATTTATTTTATATATGAAGCCAAAATGATTCGAAACAAAGTCGCATTCCCACAGATTACGATCGTTGCGATTATGATTCAACTTCACGTCCAATACAGAATGTGATCATATTCTGCAAAGTTTTGCATGACGGCACTTCCTATTGTAAGAATCTTAAATGCCGTGTACACATTTTATTGTAATTTCATAGCTTTCGCCCGCTTTATTCTTGTTAAATATTTATTTGCTGTAAACTACAAAATCATGTTTCAACACATATGAAGGCTGAATCATTTCATAAGTCAATGCATATGACCATATTTCGCAATGTTACTTTTCATACTTCTTTGGTTGTTGCCGTATAGACGCCGGTCAGAAAGGTTCTGAGTGATTCGTGCCGGTTAACTTTATTTTCGGTACACACTGCATGTAATATATCTGTTTACGTGATATAGAACATTCGCTTGATGTATCGATAAATATGATTGCGTGTGCAATGTGGATATATGAAAACATTATGTTTAGTGTCGGTGAATCATAAATTTGTGCTACAAAATTTGAATGAATATTTGTATATACCTCAAGAGTGTATAAACAATTGAAAAATAATGTAGCCATTGTGTGGATATGTCGGTTTCATTACTAGTTGTTCAGTCTATTCGGCGCGAAATCCCTTGTTCTCTTCAATTCTTTTTTTTTTCTTCATATTCTCGGTTAATAGTTTTGTATTTAGCCCTATGTTTATGACAATGATTGCCAGCGTAAATATCGTTTGAGTTCAACACAGTCAATTGTTTGTCTCGTCAACTGAATGCCAAAGTCATTGCAAACATATCAACAAAAAGAGTTAGTTAGTGACTACATAATGGAATATGTGCTATTTGTTGGATAATTTTCTGATTTTTTTTCCTTTCATTGTTGTTAGTCAAACTACAATTTTCATTTACAATTAGAAAATCAGGATATTGATACATAATATAAAAAATATAGTGTGTTGACGTACGACCGAAAATACTAATTGAGTGATTAATTAGCATGTGCATTTTGTGTACCACTTATTGCACACGATGTACAGTCCGATTTGTCATCAAAGCGCAGAATAAGGCATATATTCAAACTCAAGTGTAATAATTTAAAAATTGACATCGCAATCAAACATTCAACATAATATCAGTTCAAACTCATAAAGTGAAAAGAAAAATTTGATGAACATTTCATGTCTGATGGACAGAGCGTGTTATGAGCTGATGTCAGCAGAACTAACTAACGTCAGCTGCTGAAGAGTATGCGTTGCGTTTGAAATGAAACTTGACTTGGCGCCCAGAAAGAAATATGAATTTTGTACTGCAAATGCGTTAAAACAACGCAACGCATACTTGTCAGCAGCTGATATCAGCAGCTGACGTTAGCTCATAGCACGCTCTGCTGATGGATATGCAGAATTGACATATTACAATTTCATTCACAAAATTACTATTATTTTTGCCAATGTTCGTCGAGACTCGAGACTCGAGACAATTTGAGTCAACTCGATTGAGACGCGAGTATGAAAGTTCTTGTATTATTCTCCACTTTTGCTTCATGTTTGTTTCTCAATTTGAAGATACAACTTGGCTACTACACAATTTGCACATCCAATATAGACATCATTAATTTTCAAAAATGTCGGAATATGTTCGAAGTTTTTTTTTCAGGTTCAACCGTAGAGGTTATAAACACGATTACATGGCACTTTATTTTAATGTCGTCCGATCTCTGCTACATAATAAGATTGAAACAATCAGTGCACAAAATGAAAATCGATTTACACATAAATAGATATAAATAAATGTCTGTCTAGTCAATTTGAATGGATTCTCTGCATCAAATGCACTATGCTCCGCTCGCGATCATTTGATGTGTGTCAGTTTGCCATATTTTATATTTTTCTATATTCGCATTTGTTTTGCCAGTGATACTTTCTCGGTTAAATTAACAAATGACATGTATGCCATTCTTATGTGAACCCGCTCTAAGCCATTTTAGTGACAGACAACTTTCAAAAATGCATTTGATGACGGAATCAGCCACCACTAGGATCCATTCACCGAGATTGGCTCCAATATTTTTTGCGTATAGTTCTAATTTCGGAGCAGTTTTCTTTTAAGTGTATTCAATTGTGAAATTTAAAAATGGGGTTTTCATGTGTAAGATTCAACACAATTTACCCTAAACGTGATAATTAAAATATAGTTTCCCATGGTATTACATATTTTTAGTTAGTTTTTAGTCCAACATATGTTCGAGAAAACTACTTGGAATAAATGTTGTTCGGAGAAAAATTCTGCATCGAATTGAATATGTGTAAATCACTATCTCAGTTTGGTGTTAGAGTGATGACGTGGCATAGTAGCATTCCTTGAAAATAATAAGAGATACCCTCCTCCAACTAGTTTTCAATGAAAGAAAGTAAATAAATACTAAATTACTACTTTTTTCCCATTTATAACCGATTCATAGTTGCTGTTGATAGCACCGTTGCGCAGCATGAACTTCCAAACCATTTGTCATGTAAACAAGTTTGAAACGATTACAGCGTTAATAAATGATTTGCTGTCGAAGCAATGAGTTTACGTGTCAAAAAAAAATTAAATCTCTTAAATGAGGATAATCAGATGGATTTCAAGCCAGTATAATTCATTTGTAAACCATACGAAGAAATATCAAAACTATTCAAATTAAAAAAAAAACACGAAACTTATATTTTGTGTTTTTCTTGATTCCCGATTTGATAAGTTGAATTGTGGGCTGCTCTAGAAATGGGTTATCATTTATAATCTACATTCTCCATCTATCTTGTGCATTAATTTTTTCCAGAGCTGGGAGTACTGATTCTTGGTTGATTTTTAGCCATAGAAAATGGAAAAAAAATATTCAAAATGCAGGATTCCCCATGATTAATCCAGAAAATGCGATAGACATAAGTCAAAGAACAATAAAATCCTTTGTATAAAAGTTCCACGAATGTGTCCAATTTGAAGTTCAAATAATTTATTTCGTCAAAAGATGAGTCCCAAACTTTTGAAAGCTGATCGTCTTATGTCAACATAAGAATCACATAATTACGTAGAAGCTTCTGAGTTACGTAAAGAACGCACAAACGAAGACACAACAACGGAGAAAACACAAGCAAGAGAATGTGCGTGCTACATTCATTCGTCTTCTACTCGGTTCGTTCGTCATTCCACACGAAATCGACCAAGAATTGGATCGACCATCTCCGAATTGGCTGAAAATTTGCATGGAGTCTTGTTTTCGATAGAAAATGAAAAATCCAAAATCTTAGGGGGAAAACAAGGCTCTATGCGAATTTTCAGCCAATTCGGAGATGGTCGATCCAATTCTTGGTCGATTTCGTGTAGAATGGTCGATACATGTTGGACAAGTATTGTCATGCAAATATGGAATGCTCGCACCTTTTCGTGAATTTAAAATGGTTGAAACGGATTTTATAGGTGTATTCTAATGAACTAATCGGTTTATTTCGTGTAGTCCAATGAAATGCAAACATCATGAGGCATGAATACATTGCTATTTTCTGTTTCCATTTACGTTTTGATCCACACAAATTGGCAAGTTAAAATATTGAAGATGCCAAAATTTTTGTCTATATTAATCAAATCGTCTTCAACAGTTAGATGTATATCTAACTTACTATACAATAATAAAATTGGATGGAATCAAAGTTTCACTAGCCATACAAACAGTTTGAGTAAATGCTAAACAATCAGATTCTTTTATAGTATTTATTTATATATTATTATTTGTGTTTAATATTATCAACTTACCTGAGGATTAAATTCGAAAAAATAATCGGGCCGGAGAGGACATGGTAAACCACATTTGCATGTACCATGCCTTAACAAATAATCCTTAATTTGCTCAATTTTTCGTAAAGCTGCACCAGACGGACTGAAACATAAAAAATAGTTTAATTTTGCAAAATTTTGCGACATTTTTCTATTTCATGTATAAACAAGAAAGTTCACCTCACTTCGCTTGGTGAACATTCTCCGCTACGCGTAGAGTCTTTTAGAACCTACGAATCATTTTGGGTCTAGTTTGTTATTGCATAACAAACTATAATTGAGCCGTTACATGAAATGTACTACATCACAATGTATGGATGGATTAGATAGATAGCATACAGAGTACAATAAAGTTCAGGTCACCAAAAATCAAAAAATCAGCTGAACTTCTGTATTAAATTCAATGTAATCACAATAACCAATACTCAACATCGTGCATCATAATGTATGGAAATGAAAATGTTCAAGTATCGTATTGGTAATAACGTTTTAAACTAAATTTGTAGTTAGTCACAGATAATAATTAAACATAAAAACAGAATATGTTTTGGAGTTAAAAAATCCAAAGTTTTGGACGAAAAAAAAAACGAAGTTACTACCTTTTACATTTAATAACATTGATGTAACGGTAAAAATGAATGAATATATTCTCCATGTGTTATAATGATATCTTTTGATCTATTTCAACAGTTGCATTTTAAATATTGCGTCAAGACAGTGAAGGGATTATCAAGAACTTAAAACCTATACCAGAATCAGTGTTTTGCATGAAAGTCGAATTTTGCCTAACCAACAAATGCCGCTCAATTTGTGTGCTACTTCGCGTCAAAAGTCTCTGTAGAAAAGAAAATTTTTCAGTGAATTTTCATAATCAAGCGAGCAGAAAAGTGCTATATGCAAACAATTAAAATAGGGCGCTAGCGTCCAAAGAGCGCAACAATTTGGAAGCTCACGAACAGGCTATTGCTGTGTGTTTTACTAAACGAACTTTTTCATAAGATCCCGAATTGTTGCGCTCTTTGGACGCTAGCGCCCTCGTGCATTGAACGAACTCGCACATAAGTAAAAAAAAGGCCCTGATATGATATGCCATGAATTCATTATTATTCGCGCAAGAATACGTTCAAACATGCAATAATTTTAGTAATTGCTGTTCATAAAAATATTAGAAAATAGAAATTGCAGTTTATGTTTAATAATCGAACTGATGAATCGAGTACTGTAGCTGTTAATAAATTTTTTTTTATTTTCCTCTCATTCCATTTTGCACTTAAATCGTGGATCGTAGTCAAGTGTTTCTTTAATGTTTGGTTCATGCATTTTCTCCTCGTTCTATTTTCCACCAATTTAAATATGTTACTGCTATAATGGCAGCACGTTTCAATTATTACTACTGGGCAATTCGATCAAATGGCAAATATGATTCATGAAAACGCACTTGGGCTAAATAACACATACATAAATTGAAATTGATGGGTGCCAATTGCAAAAAAAAAAAAACGAATATAATAATCATTATAAACCTCACAAATTCTATCAACAATTGAAATAACAATGGTAGTGCCTCTGTGTGTTCAATCGAATGGGTGTCTAGCATCTAGTCACGGTGAGTATGTGTGGAAAAAAAATTTTTCAATCAAAATGTGTTTGGTCTTAATTGATTTGGAAAATAGATTAAAACCGTTTGAAAAACCTCAGTTTTGTATTTTTCGAATCTAAAATGAAGTAAATATCTCATTTCATTTTTGTTGGTATTGACGTTGCTTGTCGGCACAGCGAGAATTATGCACTCCCAAAATGACACGGCATCTACATTTGATAAGTAGCTTTATAACATTTTAGAAATACATTCGCTTCGGCATCGAAATTGTCACCCATTCAAGTCAATTACTTTCCTGGTATTTTGCAATGGGCTATAAAAGCTGGTTCATGCTTAAGTGTAGACGAATATTTGCTATATATGAAAGTAATTGAATGCGCAGACATAATGCTAATACGTTTGAAATGCCTTTGATTGGTGTGTGTTTATAAGAGTATGGTTTTGTGTATAGTACACAAAAAGCAAGTAAAACACGAATCGTCTCCCTACATACATATATGATTACGATTTATAATTAGCACTCACATTCGCTCACAAAGGAAAATAAACAGAGCAAAATTATCCATTCCGTGCATACGTCGAAGAACAAAAGAGTTTGATTACGATTTACGCGCCGTGTGTAAGTTAAATACACTAAGAGTTTGTATAATACCTCGTTTGTATCGTATTTCTGATATACGTTTTTTTTATGGCAGAGCCGAATAAATGACAAAAATGCTGCCCACCTGTACTCGATGCACTTATGTGCAAATTCTTTTTTTTTTTTTTTGTTGTGTGAATGCACATTCTGGTATAGTACATTGGTACAATGCGTCAGCTTTTCATATTTTTCCTGCCTTTCGAGTTTAATTTCATTGCTTTTTGTATTTTATGAAATATTATTGAATGATATTATATGAGGGATTTAGAGCGAAAATGTAATACAGAAAAGTTTAGCGAACTTTTCTGTATGACATTTTCGCTCCAAACCCCTCATATTGTCCGTGTTGTTGTATTGAAATCCATATAGTAGACTCTTGGTCTATGTGACGATTGTCGTAAAGACATTTTTCAGACAGGTTCACAACTTACAAATTATTTGATTTCCAATATAACCCAAATGAGACCACGTTCGATATCAAATTCAATTTAAATTTCTGTGATTCATTCATTGAACTGTGAGCCTGCCCTTCGAAGGGATTTGCACCGCAAGTATGTAACAATTGTTGGTGTGCATTTCTGTGTTCATTACGTTATGGTGTGATATCGGATAGCATTTCGAATGTTAAAAAGTTCATGGATTTTATTGCCTTTAACATCCACATGAATGAATTAAGTTTCGTATGACAGTAGTTCAAAGGAAACACATACAAAAGACATGCAAATTGAAGAAAAATAATCATAAATTGTCGGGAGTAATCCATCAGTCGTAGAACTGAATACCAAACATACTATAGATAAATTGGTAATACAACTAGAGCGGCAACTGTGGTATTCGTTTGAAATTGTAGAAAAAATGCATGTGCAATGACTGGAATTTTTCTTTAGCAACTGTTTGAAACGAAGACAACAACGGCAAATAAAATGAGCTTAGAAATCGGTTTTTACTTACATATCATCCATTGAAGTTATAAGAGACCATTCTTAGGCCATTCTATAATAATTGATACAAGAATGTGCGTGCAAATTTCCATTTGATAGCATGCATTTATGCAATTTTCTTATTACGCGCTTGCGCTTGTGTTATTGGATCGTTGTGGCAGTTGTTGCGATTTCAAATTCAATGACATTGCATCTATATTACACCATCTCTTTTTTACTTTTGCCATCCAGTAACAATGTGTAGCTGTGAAGCGATAGTTCGTGTACAATGTCGAATGCAATAGAGTGAAAATATGCATTGCATCAACAATGCTCTTTGGCTTTAGCTCATCGATACACTTTCTAGAATAATAATAATTTTGAATCTTCACTATGGTTATTTGGAAGGAGTATCAGGCTGCTCATTGTATTTGATGGGCATAATAGTGTAAGATGTGTGTACAAGAGCTATACATCTCATACACTGCGTCAAAATGGGATCAAAATAACAAATAATTCCGCTTGAATTCATTCTATTCGATTAGGAGAAGGAGACCGAAAAATATACTGAATTGATGGCAAGCGCAACTCAATCGATAGCAGAGAAAGCAATCGATGTCAAGCGAAATGAAATATAAGCATACAATATATGTGTCGTTGAGAATAAAAATGGAATTGGCCGAAACCACCCGTTTGGATGCAAATCATTTGCGTGTTAAGAGATAAAAGACGGATGTATTCCGCAATGTTTTAGAACATTCCAACATCTTCATCTTTGCTTGAGACACTTGCAAACGGGCGGTTTCAACTCTTTCTGGTGTGAACCATTCATTTTTCTATTTTCATTTCAATACTTTTTCTTTGGATTCCAAATTCGGAGAGAAGAACGCAGCATTAACAATAATTATCATCGATTACAGTGTGTAGTGCAACGGAATATTTTATTTTTCCTTTTCCTTTATCCATGCATTTTTCAACTTCTCGGTACACATAAAAATGTGAATAAAATGAAAAAAAAAAGAAGTACAGAATCAATTGTGCAGAGAACAACAATTTATTTTTTAAATTTATAATCTTCATATTTGTTTTCATTGCCACTTGTAGAGAGGTAAACTGAATGAATCCCATTCGGTTCGCGAAACAGCGGACAAAAGCGAAAAAAAGAATACTCGCGATAGGTTCAAAACTCGATGGAATCGAACAAGCAAGAAACTTGTAAAGTGAGGCTTGTTAGTTGTTTTGTTGTTGTTACCGCATAGCTGCGAATATAAGCACGTCTGTACGACGACTGAATGTTTGTGAATGTGTACGGCTGCGAGCGCACGGTACACTTACATTAAGACCCAAATTAGCAACAAAAATTGTTCTTTAATATTCCTTACGTTGTCCAACGCATGAAGTGTTCTTTCTTTATTATTAATTTTTCATGTTGTTTTCTTTTTCGCGCTTTGTTGAATCATTTATACAACTTATAAATCCTGATTTCAACGATAACAGAACATTTATTACAACGAGCCAAGTGCTCATCGCTCGGGCTTCACTTGATGTTGATACACAGATAGTAGATCGGAATAAGTATAAAAGAAATAGTAAACGAAATAGCGGGCAGAGTAGCGGACAAAATATCCTTGAAATATAATGTTATTCTTTGTTGTTAGACATATTTTTGCTTGCGCTACATCTCGTAATAAACAATCGAAGGAGATAGGTACACTGGACCCGGAGTGTAATCGTGTATGATGCAACGGAGTTTTTTCTCTCCTCTTTTGAGGATAATATACAACAAATGTCAAATGAGATTTCATGCAAAAAAATTGTTATTTTTTTCTTACAAATATTCTGCTATTTCTTTATCGCATGAAAAATTATTCTATATATGAAAAGGTTATAAAACATTTATAGTTTAGTTATTGTTATTATAAATCATTGTAAACAAATACAAATTGATGTAACAGTCTTGCACTCTTTTCCGGCCACACCTCTATTCATTACAATATATTCAACCAGAGCTTGGCGGTGTTAAATAAAATGAAAATAAAAAAAATTAGTGATATTTTATTGATGTCCAAATATTTTAGATGTATAGTCAAATCTTGGAAGATGTGTCGAATTGATTTCGGGTTTGGCGATTTTAATTGTAGATTTTATGTAGTTTGGTGTAGTGTTTTCACTTTTTTTTTTCACAATTTTGTTAATATAGATTAGTTTCTGGCTATTTATGCGGCTCATCAGCGAGTACGCCTGAGCATAAGTTTTACTCTAATATGCTAATTTATTTTTTCGTGTTTTATCTACTTTCTCATTTTAATAAACTTTTACATCGATCGTTGAATTCAACAATGACAATATCAAACATGTCTGATTTAACTTGGCATGAATAATACTTAAAATTCACTTGAGATATTTCTATATTGAATAAATGGAATCTACGACCACGGTCCACGGCCTTTCATTTGATCATTATTATGTACTTGGAAATATCAAATTTAATTGATATGATGTTCATTTTTTGTATTAAGTTTTATGTTTTACTTTGTGAAAATCGCTTTCTTTATCTTTCAACTGTGCATATCTATGTAAAGAGACGAGACTGTTTAGAGAGAATGTCAGCATTTGGTTCTGCCTAAAGTTGAATTTCCATCGAATAATATTAACAAGAAACGAAGAAAATGTCAATACTTTCACATCACGCCACTTCACATCAAATCCAAGAGACTAACAGAGTTAATTCGCCGTATTGAACTGAAGTATTTCGATGTCAACTCTTTTTTTTCTCAACAATTGCTAGTTCAAGATGCACGCCGAGTCTGTGTATGCGAACGTAGTCACAGCAATAAAAATGAATAAGCCTTAAGGTCACGACTGCTATTTACATTAAATATCATTTTCATTTCCACGCCCGTCTCAACGACTATCGTGACTCTGTACATAGTATATCGAAATTATGTGCAGACCAAGTGCATAAAATATAAATAGTTTTCGATTTGTTTCATGGCAGGCGTAAACCAAATCAAAAAATCGATATTTTTTATCCTTTTTTTTTTTTGCTTTTGACGCAGTTGGCATTCAAGACTGTGTTGACTGCTGCATTTAGTTTTGATTCTCATCCATTTTTATTGGTCGTCCCTAGATTGGGATTTGCAATATTTTACATCCATTGTAAATATAAAATAGTTGCCCTAAATTACAATTATTATCATGGGGCTGACATTTCAATAAACGATTTGCTGCACGAATGGTGACTGCATTGCGAAGGCAAAGTTATTTGCTCTTAGTGTGCAAACCTTTCATTATGTGTTTATTTGGAGGTTTTCTTATGCATCCGTTTCATTCTTCTTATTTAAAATATTTGGATTTTTGGTGACAATTATCGATTCATGAAATGGAGGTGAACGTTTCGTCATTCTATCGTCAAAGTGATCTTATACTTTATACATAGGAGAAATATTTTCTGGTGGGTGTTCGAATCGACGATTTTCATTGCGAATTCGACCCATTCATTCGTATAGATTTTTTCGCTTCTCTGTGAAGTTCATTGTTGTCAGCGTATGTGAGTCATTTGTCTCTCGCTGCTAGTTCCACGTTCACAAATTAATCATAAATGTTGATATCTTTTATGATGAAAATTCACGCAAGCTTTACTTATATTTATTTTTCTCAAAGATCCGATCACAAAAGATAGGGTTGCGCGTCGATAATATCAACAAAACACAAAGATAGAAAATATATTTCCATCTATTCAAATCATTAAGTAGTGGATAACGGACAAACAGTGTTATTCCACTCAAGCGAAACAAAGAAGGATCTTATTTTCTACAACGAATTTCAATATTTTCGTTTTTACAGCTTGAAAGCACTCATTCGTGCGTACAAGTACTGTTGCTTTATTTTCTCTTCATTTTGATCCAGTATCTGTTGATTCTCGTTTCGAATTGATTTGCTAGTTTTATTCTTTGTCAGATTTAAATCAATTGGACATTTATCACAAGCTTTCCAACATTGAATCTACCGGGTAATCAGTACAAAGAGTTAACATCTTTACGAAAAAGAACTGGTTCCTGTTACTACTTCTTATAAAATCTTGCTATCGGTTCTCTCCATTTTCGCTTTTCCCATAATTGAGCTGCGTAAAATCATTTGCTTATAATTGATTATCAGGCGTTTCTTACTTATGTTTATGGTTTAGAGTATCACATATTGCGCCAGTGCATTGGATCGTATCAAAAAGCAGACATGATCAACTCGTTAACAAACGTTTGCATTCTAACTGATTTGCCTCAGCACAAAATCGTGAAGAGTGATGCTATTCTATGAGCCAAATGAACTCTCAAATGTTATTTATTTAATATTCAATCAGATCGAGGAAATAAGGTACCATTGAAGACGCAAATATGTTCAAAGACGTTCATCAATGATGATAACGACCCCCTGGTACGATCATTACTCATTTCAATTTATAATATACCATTACATTTTGAATGCTCTTCTTATGTTTTTCGTTCTGTTTTCAACGGTTTGGGAAATGTGTCATATGATTCAGGAGAAAGAATATAGCAAAAAACTGAATTAAGCCAGAATATCGACTGTTCTCTTAGAATATGGAGATGTCTGTCCATTAAACGATTGGATATATATTATTGGATGTAGGTAACTTCAATCCCATTAAACCACGTTCCATTCTGGCATGATTCTCCAAGAAACAACAAAAACACAATACAAAGCTAGCCAATAGAAGCCTTTTATTAATTTTTGGCAGTCTGGGAGTCAAGCAACTCGAGCCTGGGAAACTTCTACAGAATGTATGAAATAAACAATTTTGTTGAAAAATGTATGCATCTGATGGTAATGAGGCTTGAAAATAAGAGAAAAAATATGTCAAGATGCATACATGAACCAAATCTCCAGCTGCTCGAGAAAATTTCATCTGGTTTCATTTTTTTGTGCTTTCAAAAAAGATTCATGGTATGCACAGGCACACTGCACATAATGTGATGTAAATGACACTGGCCATGTTGAAGTTTGATCTGTTCCCATGAAACATTTGGTTGGTTTGGGTTTTTGTAGTTTCAAAGATGTCGTACTGTTTGTTTCAAGAGCTGATAGTGAAATGAATGCAGTAAAAATTGATCAAGTATAAGTAGAAAAGGATACTACTTTTTCGCACACAATTTCAATGGTTGATATAATACCACCAAGTTCAAGTTGTACAACACTTGACATGAATGCATTACATAAAAATTGACATCAAAAATGCCGAAAAAGGAAAACAACTTGGTGTGTTGTATGAACTTTCGATTGATTTTCAAGTATTAGGCCGATTTTTTTTTTCCTTTACAAGAGAAAGTTTCACAGTTGTGAAATATTTTTGGCAAAAGTGAAGAGAAATGAAGAGAAAGAATGAGAAAAGTTCAACAAATATAGGTTTGTGTAAATTTTCCACGGTCACCAATGAAATCACAGAGGGACGGACGGACAAAATCCTTTACTAATGACAAAAAACAGCGAATAGCCGCACGCAAAATCAGTTGCAAGATAGTCAATAATTATTTATTATGTATGGAATGATTTAAATTCTTTTAGATTAATAACTCACCTAAAATAGACGATTTCGCCTTCGGAGAGTTGCCTGCGCCAACCGGGAGCAACATTTGCGCTATTATTTAATGCATGCTGTTTAACGTTTAAATAATTTCCGACATTTAGCCGCTGCACATAATTTGATTGTTGGCCAACAAATGCAGACCCAACTAAACTGTGTTGATGTTGTTGTTCTAATTGCAATAAAAATATTCAAAAAAAATCGTTTAGCACTTGGAATGTATGTAAAATATCAGAGAACTGATGTTAAATGTTCGGTTGTCAACTTACCGGAATGATGTTGTTGTAAGTGTGATGGCGATGATGCAATTGCTCCAGACAAATAGCCTGTTTGTGTCGCACCAGCGCTAGCCGCAGCCATTTAGTTTTATTATATTAGCCACGGTATATGTCTGAAATGGGGAACACATAGACATTAACATATTTTCACAGTATAGGTAAATCTAGGGGTTAGACACCAATTTCTAGTATAGCTAGTTTGTTCAAATCGGTTCAAATATGCGTTTAGTTTCTTCTAGTTTTTCTAGTATACAAGCAGAAACGCAAATATTCTGCTAGTATTTCTAGTATCGTAATATTGCTTCTTCCATTAGTATAGCATTGCCAATGCATTTCTTATGGAAGGATTAACGGTACTTTTTGTAAACAAAACATTTGAACTCCATAAGCAAAGCGTTGGCAGTATATTTTAAATGGAAGAATTTGTCCATATAAAAACCACTGGCAATGCTATTCTTATGGAAGAGGCATCACTCATTTTTTTTTTCACAAATATTCTTCTAGTGTTATTTCGTGTCTACCCCCCCTAGAGGTAAATTCAATCAATTCAAAATAATTTCGATTTCTTTCTGCTTTATTTCATTCTTTGGTAGTTTGTAATTCTAACTACGATTAAGATGTTTTGACTTTTAGCTGTCGTATTTCAATTCGCAAATCTATTGTTATTAATTCGAAGATTGAACCACCCAATTTATTTATTTAATTTATCCGAATACATTTTTATTTATTTCATATTTGGCGGTAAGGTATGAGTTATTTAATTTTGCCTCTTCGTTAAACCTCACATCTTTTCAATGAACAAAACGTCAATGAACAATTTTTACTTAGACTTAAGTCGGGTGAGATGCGATTGCATGTAATCAGTCCATTCATTTTCTATATTAGGGCCAAATTCACTAAATTGGTAATGGAGTCATAAGAGCGTCATATTGAGTCAAAATTTTGCAATTCGTTTAATTTGACGACCACTAAGATTCTGATGGAGCTCAGAAAACTTCTGGTAACTGCACGGGTGCAGCATTTATATGACACCCATAGAGCAAAAGAACAATTTATGAGTTCTTTATCCATAACTGAGACGGAAAGAAACTTAGAGCAAAAAAAGACAAATAAAATTGCGAGCAAAAGTGACACAACTCAGCATTGAGCGGGAAAGACGTTTTTTTTGCATTTTCCTCGCTACTGGAAATAGATAACGATTAGGTGTCTTCGGCATTATTGTAGAAAACAAAAAAAAACAACAAATAAGCCTACCTGGCGAATTGGAAATGCGATATCAGATTTGGAACATCGAATTGTTTCAAAGTTTTTGTGTGTGCAAAAACAAAGAATCGTTTTAAAATATAAGTATTCAAATCTACATTCATTATTTATGTGATGTACTTCAGCTACTCTGGGATTAAACCAAGGGGGAAATCGATTGAAATTCAAATATTTGAGGCTGTGAGAATGAAAATGGCAATACAGGAATAAACATTCTGAAGCGCATCAAGAAAAAAAAAATCGCAAAAGTGAATCATGAGTTCTGAATACGCAAAAGTGAACCATGAACCTCCTATGCTGTCCATGTAAATTCATGTTCCACTTTTGCATATTCAGAACTCATGATTCATTTTTGCGAATTTTTTTTCTTGATGCGTTTCAGAATGTTTATTCCTGTATTGCCATTTTCATTCCCACAGACTCATTTATTGATTACAAGTGCATACTGCAATAAAATTGACTTGTTTGCTAATAAGATAGAATGGGCACACGTTGTGACAAGATGTTTGTAGACGAACAGTAGAAACAAATACACTTCGAATCAGGTTGTAATTTCCTACCAAAACTCCTTTGAACCAATTACCAATTCACATTGCACTCGAAATAATGTAAATATCTTACGATATATCCATATCTTTAATTATATCTGAATTATATACCCTCCAACATTGATTTTATCTATGCCTATCGCAACATTTTCTCCCTTTCGACTTGCAATGCATATGTTGCGTTCATTTTTATAAATGCGTCAAGGGTAAATAAATGCGAAAGAAACCGAAGAAGAACTCAATTGATTCAATAATATTAATAAATAATCAACGAATCCTCATACTAGCATGAAACGATTCAAAGTTACATCGCATCATCTACATAGTTCATTTTTGGTGTTTATTTAAGAATTTTGCATGAGATATACATAAAATTGGGACTTCTGCTGATAGCTTTGATAATATTTAACTGATAGATCGCATCTATTACATATTAATTAATTGGATGGAGTAGTTCTAAATACTTTGTGAGCATTTCCAAAGTGCAGCGGTGACAAGAAACAAAAACGACCAATACGATTGACTTCTAATATATTTGCTTGTTTGAATCATGGACGCGTTGTAGCAGGAACCATTGAGTACATGGCTTTCAGCGCCATGTGCCTTGGTGCCAAAATATTCTTTCGATAGATGGCGCTGGACAAATGGTCTGGTAAAACTTGGTCCAATCAATTAATGTTTCCAACACTATCCTATTTGTTTTACTTATTCGCTCAGCTCAACGCTTTTTCCAAAACAAAGAACAGTGCTTAATAGAATTGATATATTGAATGATGACTTTTGCAGTCATTAGGCCGACTCAATATGTTTAACGCTCCAGCTAGTCTATCTTTTCTCAAAAGCGTTGTTAGACAATCCGTTTTCCGATTGAACCGTTGACAATTCCATAGGCACGACATGAGCGAGCAGCACTGATGTACTGCTTACAGCGCCGAGTACTCCCGCAGTGGTGATAACCACTCATAAAAATAAAATTCTTGATTATTAGAATCACATATCAAGTTTACACGCTAACTAAAAATCAAATCGGAAAAATTAAAAGTAAATTCGGCAATTCGACGAATTACCGAACGTTTTTTTTGTTTTTCGGCAAAATATCGAACTATCAACAATGTTGTCGAAATTCACTCACATCGGATTTCATTTTCACAGGAATTCAACACTGCCATTGATGCAATTCACATGATAAATTATCTGAATTTATCAAAATATCCGATCGAACAAATGCAGAAAGACCAATTTGGAGTAAACGAAAAATGTAAACAGAAACGAACTGTCATTACAAAATCTGGACTCATTTAACATTATAAAGGATTTCCAATACACTTGTCCGAATGAATAACATGGTGCTCATGTCAATTTTCCCCCACGACGCGTCCATGGTTTGAATAACAATCCCATTAGGTTTTATTCATTTCTATAAAATCACACTGATCGTGCAACTCAAAGGACTAAGGATCTGTCACAAAGATGAATGTAAAGGTGTCAGTCGAACACGAACTATTATCCAGTTTAAGACCATAAATTCTACTTTTAAAAAATTCGAGCATTTTTATTTGAAAGCATTACAAGAAATTCACTAAACAACTTACTCTTTAACTTTAGACTTGGCTCATCATTTCATTTGATGTGCACGACGCATCAAGTTTTAAATTAAAAAAGAATTGTATAAAACATGATAAATTGAACACCTTTTCAATTCCAACTAAAATGCAGCCGCGTTTTTGTCTTTATTATTATTCACATTATTCTATTTGTGAAAGTTCTCTGTATACCCCTCCCTGGACGTGTCCAAGTATGTATAATATTCTTAGGATAAACAAGTAGTTGTATTTTTGATTTTATCAGATGAATACCAACTGAATTGCATCGGCGACAGATGTCCTTATTCTAGCTGTTAATATGCACAGTTGCCTTTTGAACGACAAAAGAAGTATTGAACGGAATAAAATATTAAGAAGGAGTATGCAGCGTTCTCGTTCAAAGCACACGCAAATTTGTATAAAAATTAATTCATCTTTTTTTTTTTGCAACCGTAATCGATGTTAGCACGTTACATATTTATTTATTTCTTTGTGGAAATAACAGGACTATCGTTAACATTTCAATAATTGACAAAAACGAGAATTGCATGGTTATATTTGAATTTCGGTATTGATTTTCGTTTTTTCTGGTTTGGCTTAGACATAAATATTGCCGTTGTCATATAATAAGTTGCTTGAATATATATGGCTGTGATGGTATTGACCGTTTGCATTTCGAAAATGTGAAGATAAAACTTGGAGCAAGTCATTTTTTAGAGTGAATTTTTGGAGCAGGTCACTGAAGCATTGTACAACGTGTGAGAAAAAATGTTTTAATCGTTTGAATAGCATTTGATATCAATCGACCAATATAGTTTTTTGTTGAATAGCATATTTTGCTGATTTTATCGTTTGTGATTGGTGATTCTCTTGATTGTTGATCAATGACACAATGATCACATGCAATATACCGCACGCGTGTGCCGCCAGCACCATTCGTTTTTGCCGATTCCGCTTTTTCCGTTCATTCGTTGGCAGCAAAAGTTGGAACAAAGAAGAATCGGCCATAGCCTGCGTTGCTTGCGACACATTTCACTTCCATCTGACATTTTGCAGTGAATTCTTTACTGCCAATTTACGCTCGAGTGATCCAAACTAGTTAAACCCCAATCACGAAAACCTCTTCGTAATAACGAATATGCATCCGTTTTGTTCTACATATTTTAAACATATTTCAGTTTATGTGAATTAATATTGTTTGTTTCAAATAAGAGAATGAATATTGTTTATTGCTACGAAAATAATTACTTTTCATTATGACTTATGTATATGCCGAGTATACATTCACGTTTATCATTTTCACATTCATTTGGAATTTCCCATTTAAATATTCTCTCTAAATCGGTGAATATGTTCAAAGCTTATTTTAATTCAAAATCTTTGAAGATTAGACTTACAATATCATCTTGCATGCAGGAAGAGTGGTTAATGTACGTTCAAATTCGATATAAACGCGGTGATAGCCGTTATACATAAACACCTGCGGCAAATACTATATGCAATGTGCTATTTTGCGAATTTTCTTTCTAACGAATAAAATCTCATCTTAAATCTCCATAAGAATTGTACATAACGAATGGCGTTGTGATGTAGCAAAGATGAAAATGTCAAAACATTACTAATTTTCCACTAGTCTTTGTTTCAGACTAGTGCGGTGTAAACATACAGAATTGAAGAAAGTACATACACAAAAAATCAGCAATGTATATTTGAATGTAAAAAATTACAGTCGATACAAATACATCTGTGAACACTATACGTACGGTGAAGTGTACAGCTTCACGATGATACAGTTATTGTTGCTCTTTTATTGTTTCAACTTGTGTAAAAAGAAAAAAAAATGAAGAATAAATAAAACATAGACCATATATTCAAAACACACCCACACTAATAAAAGTCAGCTACTGTAAATGGGGCATTTAAAAATCAGCAACAAAAGACTCAATGAAAATGAGCGCACGCGACATTCAACAGTGAATGAACAAAATGTCTTGCAATAAATAAATAAATCAATAAAAAAAAAAACGCACAAAATAACAAACAAAAAATGTTACACACTATATAGAACGTTGGATACATTGTAAAATTTCACACGAAGATGTGATAATAGTTCGGCTTTGCAGTTTTAAGTATGGTAGATACCAAAAAAAAAAAACATCATAAAATAAATATGTTCTTCTGTTTGGTTATTTGTTTTGTTTCTCGTTTCTCTTTTTCAGGTTTTGTATGTATTCACATCACTTATGCTTGAAATTTGCATTTGTATCATGAACATAGGTCGCATAAATTGATTTCTCGCATCTCACATTTGCCCACAATTTTTATGTTTATTTATTTTGACAGTTCATCAATGCAATTGAATGGAATAAATTGGTGAATGTAAAAAAAAAAAATGCTCACCTGATTGTGCTGGCTAATCGACATATCCTCTTCTATGTATCGAATCCTATACATATATCATAGCAATTATATTGATTGTGTCTGGTTTTCACACAGATTTTCTGCTTCTATTTTATCCACTCTTTTAGTGTGTTGAATCCAATTTTTCTTAATATTCCGATAATTCACGTAGTAGTTGTAATATATTTTTAATCGATAATTTTTATTTTCTTTTCGTCGATTTCGTCATCGTTTTCACTGGATTATCGACTATTTAGATTCATGCTTAAATAAGACAGGGAATAACACAAATTTTCGACACCGATTTGAACCAAATGATAAACAACAAGTCATAATTGAACTTCGTTAAGACTTTGAACACTTCGATTTTCGCATAATTCCATTTGGTTTCACATTCAATTCCCTTATTTTGTAAATGAACTTGGTTACCTGGAATTCAAACACACAAAAAATTTGATCAATTTAGATTCATAGTGTAGAGTATATTGTTTTTTTTTTTTTGCATGCTCTGCTTTTCAATCTAAATTTTATTCGAAGATCAATGATACATTTTATTCACCTTTTGTCGACTACACATTTTTTCACAAAAATACAAAAACACGACATCATTTGCACAATAACTTCAAGTGAATTCTGATTTAGATAAATCATCGTTTTCGGAAAAAATCAGCAATTGGACATTTGAATTGAATTTTCCTGGGGATTGACTACAAACTCTCATAAAATTTTGTATCAGCATAGAGTGGATTGGTGGATTTCATTCGCATTTTTTTTTGTATTGTAATTCTGGTTCGATCCGTCTCACTTTCTCGTGGTTCATTTCAGACTTTTTCATAGTTTGAGTTGATCCTTCAGTAGCTTAAATGTTGAATAATTTGTTTTTTTCTTCTCCCGGCAATTATGTTTGTGCACGCCACATAGTTAACATATCTCGTACTGTTTGATAAAAAAAACAAACGAATTGGTAAATCCGAAATCAACTTTTTTTCACCATTAATATTTTTTACACACTCGCACACTGTTTTTCACATCATGCAATAAGGCAAAATTAAACATACAACTACACTCATCTTCCAAAAATCTCTTTAGTTATTGATCTGAAAAAAAAATTGATGAATTCATCTGTGTTTTAGTGCAGAATGAAAGACAACATACCAGCGAGAAAGAAAAAAATCACAAAAAAATGTTCGGCTTTCAGTGTATTGTTTCGTTTCTCTGTTCAGTATATTTTTTCTCTCTATACTTTATGTTATTGGCTACACACAACATGTATATGTTTTTCTTCTTCACTGTTGTGAACTTACTCAGTGACTGGCTTGCCTGTGTGTAGTGGCAATGTTCAGTGTATACATTTTCAACCAATTCACTCTCTCTTCGATATATCTTCATATTTACGTTCGTTCAGAAGAGAAAATCATTCAATATGTGTGTTTTTTTTCTCAATAACGCGCAATCACCATAGTACTATGGTATTGACATCAGGCAACCCAACGAAAACAATTTGCTGCTAGCTACCATTTTGCATTTAATTCCATTCAATCTATGTGTCATCTGTTCATGGCCATTATTTTGTAGTAGTATCAATTTTCTATTAAATATTAAAAAAAAAAACAACTAAACTGACCGCCTCAGCATACCTTATGGTCCAGTTGTAATTGTTTCTGAAGCATAATTTATGTGTGAAGATTCATATGCATTGCACAATAAATGTGGTCAAAATACGAGACTAACATAATTTTCAATCCATTCTTCGCAAGTTATTTTCACTCCAGATACATGAAATGTTATCTTTATCGTCGAATAAAATAAAGATGATTAAATTGTGCAATTGCACAAGCCATTTGAACAAATGTCTAGAATATATTTTCTTTCATTTGTATAAGTGGTGCCAGAGTTAGTTGACATAGTTGATTTAAGCTCATGTCGACGGTTAGATGGCATTACGATATCATTACTATACTCATTATATGTTGACAGGAACATATGATGTACATAATCATGTTAGAGTGTCCATCTGTTGATGGACTACTGTAACATGTTCAGCAAATGAAAAGTCATGTCATGCCAGACATTGGCAAACGAAGTTAGAAAATTATATTAGAATTGGTCTAGTATGCGAAATAGGCATAAGACACCAATCATAATGTTTAATTGACAATACATCTTATGGCATTACAGTTGTATTTATTGTTTTAACAAAAAAAAAATGAATAAACCAAATCACAAAATCTGTTTGATACTTTGCAGAAGAATAGAATGAACCTTATATGATGTGATTTAACATTACCCGGCAAAACAACAACGAAAATGAATATACTAGATGTATTGAATTTTGAATTTTCCACAGGAAAAACATAACCGGTAGTGGATAATAGCAAACCAACACTCTGACCACCAAACATTCTAATGCCACGTGTTCCTGTATACTGTGCCGTTTAATGTGACAGAATATTCTGCAAGTAATTTGATTTTTCTCTGTGAAGAATGAATCGAAGTGACCAGAAGTATCGTGGGTATTTGTTGTGTTGGCGACTGTATGTGAGTGTATGACGCGCATTTATATTTTTTTGCGCTATCGTCACACGACTGAATATTTGATGTCGATGACGTTAAGTCAAGAGTTTCAAGGTTCATACGATACAAATAAGGAATCAATGGGAAATAATTGGTTCGAGTTCGATTACAACTTAGCGGACATATTTATTGCGTTTATTTGGTTCTATTATCTCATGGGTCATTTTCGATAAACATTGTATCGTCACAAATGACTTAAAATGCCTCAGAATATTATTCCAATAATTTAAATAACAAATCACGAGCTTTCTTCTAGTTTGAACATCACATTTATTATTTCTGTTATTCGGCCAGAAAAAAAAAATGAATAAGAAATTTTCGATCTAAGTTTTTTTCACGACGTCATGTTCTCGGTTCAAATTGAAACGCAATACATAGAATAACGGGGGAAAAGAAAATTGAACAATCAGAACTGAAACGACAATTGTAGTTAACTAATGAAACGAAATAAAGACGAACAAAAATGTAAATCGAACCTTTATTCATCCTTAGTTAAACCAGCACTAAAGAAAAGTATATTGCATACTTTATTGCAAAATATTTCATATCACTACCGATATACTAATATTTTCATATTAAATTGGTGCGTTGATCAGTAGCCAGTGATTGGTGTATGCCTTTTGGCCACAAAGCAATAATTTAATTGGTTGGGCTTATGTTTTATCAATTTTGTATTGCGATTTGGTATTTATTTCAGATGTAAACCAAGCCGTTGCATATAGTTATTAATGAGTTTGTTAGGGAAAATCTAGAAATTAACTGATTGCTGGTTAGAAGTGTTGTCGATTTATTTTTAACTTAAAAATGAGACGATGATTTTTTTTTTCGAACTAATTTAACTAGTTGTACATTGTTGTACTCTAGGTCCATGATGGTATCCATCGTCATCATCTTCGTATGCCTGTCGTGAATAGCGTTGATTTCGTGCATCTTGTTCTGGGTCAAAGTCAATCTAAATGGAATAAAACCAAACGAAATCGAATTTATTATTGTCTATATAAACTTCCAACAAAAGTTCGAATGCCGTTAAATCGATTTGAACTCACCATATTGCATTCTTCAGCGTCGATTGGGATGTCGTCTCTGGGGCGAGGTGGAAGGCATTTTTCCAAATCGGCAACAATAGTCTGTGGTATTTTTTCCGGGAATACGATTTGGAACTGAACAATGAGACGGCCCTTTTCGAATGGATTCTTGTATTGGGGCATTCCTTCACCCATGATGGATTTAAACGAATCATGTTTCACCACTTCACCGGGTAAATTAGTCACAACCAAATCCCGATTGTCCAATGTCTTGATGACTTTTTGGAAACCGCACAATGATTCAACTAATTGCAGTGGCATGCGCATTACCAAATCTTGTTTTGACCGTTTGAAAACGGCGTGTTCAATTTCTTCGAGAACAATTATAATATCGCCTGGTTGCAACTCTGGCTCTTGGTCACCTTCACCGCTGAACACGATTTTTTGACCGTCACGCATACCTTTTTCGATGTTCACCTCCAAAATCTTGCGATCGCGAACCGTTTTCTTGCCATTACATGTCTTGCAACGATCTTTGGCCGCAATTATTTCGCCTTGTCCGTGACAATGGCTGCATACTTGTTCGATTTGTTGCGCCATACCCGGTCCGATCATGTGAATTTTTACCTCGATACCGTTGCCACGACAAGTTTGACATTTCTCCACTGCACCCTTTTTACCACCACGGCCTTCGCATTTATCACATATGATGCTTTTCTGTAATGCCAATTTGCGAGTGGCTCCGTTGTACAGTTCTTCTAATGTAACACCCAGTTGGTGGACCAGGTCTTTGCCTCGACGCTCACGTCGTCTACCACCAAAACCACCACCGCCAAAGAACATGTCTAATTGGAATGAAACCAAACAAAAACGAAATTAATAATATGCAACTTTAGTTCTTAACAAAAATTGAGGTGTCGCTGAACCGTTTGAACTCACCAAAGATATCCATTGGGCTGGAGAATCCGCCACCTCCACTGCCACCTTTCTTGATTGCAGATTCACCACCTTCGTCATAGATTTGACGTTTTTCTGCATCAGCGAGGACTTCATATGCCTGCGAAATTTGTTTGAACTTCTCTCCTTCGTTGGGATTTTTATCGGGGCTGAAACGTGAACATGAGAAAAAAAAGGAATTTACACCGCATTGAAATAAATATTCGTTTAAATATTTATGCATTAAATGTATGGTGAATGCAGTACTCACTGGTATTGAAGGGCAAGTTTACGGTATGCCTTTTTGAGATCTTCTGGCGAGGCATTTGGTTTCACACCAAGAATATCGTAATAAGCTGTTTCTCGAACCATTTTTGATGTGTTCACTAAGACCTATAAGCAGGAAATACCATTGATATAAATGTATTAACTTATCAATGTAGAATGTATTGCGCGCTGTGTGACTAATTCATGTTTGTGTGGAGGGAAAAAAATACATGAAATTTCACAAAGAGAAAACTTAGTTGGATTTTTCTTTAACAAAATGGCGTAGACTCAGAAAGAAATTTGTCTCGCTACTGATATTCCTCTTTAATCATTTATTCTGCAAGAATTCACTAGAATTTAATTTAACAATTTTTGTTGCTTTTTGCCAACGATTACTCAATGTGAAATATCTCGTTTAGACTAGCCGTATGCAATGTTCTACAATGATTGCAAAAGCACGTTTTTTTCTTCTTTTTGTTTTATTTCAATCACCTTATTTTGTGAAAAATTGTATGATTCTAGTATACTTTATTCCAATGCGTTGTTTTTTTTTTTTTAACAAATGAATAAAAATGTAAGTATAGTTTTGACTGGTTTTTATGTTTACGATTCACTTGTGTTCGCTTGAAATTTATGATTAAACGAATGATGTGAAATACCTTTTGCGTTCGGTTGAATCGAAAAAAGTTCCGAAGATTCTAGAAAATTCTTCGATATACACACTAGCACAAAGGCACGACCGTAAAGCTCACACTTCAATAGAAGAAAGATTGCACACTATATTTCGCGTCTGACAGCACGCTAATCGATCGTCGAACAAACGAGAAAGAGTGGCGCCACTGTCACTACATATGACACATTCAAATGAATTTTATAATGCGACTTACTTTTGATTTAATTTTATCTACTATTCAAAGGTGTTTTTTTTAAATAAGAAATGGATAATTAATGGTTCGTTTTGACCGATTTGAGACAGTTGTTTTTTCAATGGGACTGCAGCAAGAATTAATTTTTTTTTGTTAATTTGTGGGCTCATTTGTTCAGTTTTTGCATAAAAGTTCCAAAGCTTACATCAATACGTAACGCCATCTGTTTGACGTAAATGTAATGGTTTAAATTGACATCAACTTAGAGACGTAACTGCAACTCTCTTTTTTTCTCAATATTGTCTACGGCCTTATTATCTTATTAAACAGATATGCCTTTTTTCAATAAAAATTAAAGTCCTTATTTAGTTTGCTAATAAGTGTAAAGAAATTAAATTACATATTAGCCCAAATTAAGAAGCGTAATCGATTTGAGTAAAAAAAATTTACTAAGATTAGCGACAACTTAAGTGATATGAACATTGCTAAAGCTTGGTTGATTGAAAATAATAGGTTTGAAAAAGCGATGAGCCAGCACATACAAGGATGGATAAAATGTTAGGTGTTATGTAGCAGCATGGAAACTGTGGAAATTGAAAGCTTCAATTGGTACATACACAATCAGTTTGTGCCATAGTATATAAATGTGTATCAATATATGGTTTTCATAGGCGAAAACATTTGGCGAAGTTTTCCACATTGATGACAAAACGAGTTTTGCTTCCAGAGTGAACGGAAGCTCATCCTAGATACGTTACGTATTCACTTTTGTGTTTTTCGGCCATAGAAAAAGAAGACATCATTCTCGACTTATCGAACAAAGTTTCGCCAAGCCAATAACGTAACTTATCGACACTGAACGTTGAGTTGACACAAACACAGTGTTGTGCCATCGATTTGAATTCTTCGGTTTTTTAATTAAAAATCAATGTGACAAAAGTAAGTCAATAAGATTCTCTGAATCAAACAAATAGACCAAAATTAAATTTCAACGGATTTATATTTCAATTCGTATATTACGGATAGACAAAATCACGGCGATTGTTTTCAAAAAGTTATCCAAACAATAAATATTTTCACTGACAAACTGAAACCGTAATTTTTGTTTTTGGCAAGTTTCTCTATGTGTGATCTATACATGATGATTTGGTTTATTAACGTTCGAGTAAATCGATATCGATATCATGAAATCAAATTGTGTGTGTGTGTGTGCGTGTGTGTGTGACTCAAAGCCAAAGATATTTATTTGGTGCATTCTGTCCAAGTGAATCGGCATAAACATGTCGTAAAAAGTGACAACATGAATAAATAAAACAAAATCAGCAATTTAATGAATAAAAAAAGTCATTTATTTACATTTTTGTGATAATATCATTGACGTAATAACATTTTTGGCTGTAGCAAGAAAATGGGAAAGAGCGGCTCTGAACATTAGCTTTGGCAATTAATTGCGTTCTGTCTCTTGCAAACGGCCAATAGTTCGGCTCTTGATTTTGCATCGAACCGCACCGCACCGCACCTCCCCACCAAATTGTCAAAATCGTCGAATCAATAGAAAGGACTTGCACGTTTTATCGATTATTTTGGCATTTTCAAGTAATATTTTAATCACTTTCTCTCTCTCTCTCTCTCTCTCTCTCTCTCTCTCTCTCTCTCTCTTCAATCAAATACATGCTAGAACATGGGCTCATTTTCAATTGCGTATTATTTCATATGGATTAATTTGATGGGGTAACAGTCAACACATGCGACTCGTATCCTTTAGAACATTACGTCGAAACAATATACAGTAAAACCTCCCAATAGTGGACTCGCTCCGGCCGAAAATTGTTTCCACTATCTCGAGGTTTCTCTTAAACAGAGGTTCCACTATTGAGAAGCTTATAATGCTTTAAAAATGTGTTTTCCATTAATTAGAGGATTATTGTACGTTTATTTGAATATTGATCGAAACAGTACTATTTTCGTTTACGTAACAAGTAAACAATACAGCGGCACCTGGGGACTAAGTGCAATATGTCATGCTTTCAACGTTTGAACTAATGGATTAATGGATAGTACGGGGAGTTCCGAGAAATTCGTCGCTCAGGCTGTATTCAGTCTATTGCGAGACGCCCGTTTGAACTAGCACAGAAAAGTCAGATTCATAACGGATTTATTTGCGGCGATGGTAGCGATTCAAGCGACATATGACCGCTACTAAAGCCTTTTAAATTTTATGACAAATTTCATAGTTCATATTGCGAACATATTTTTTGTGTTCATATACTGCTATAAAAAAAACCCGAAACTATAGCAGAGTTTCAAATTTGTCTTCTTTCTTCCTTCCATCTTGTGGATTTTTGAAAAGATTCAGTTATCAAATTATGACTGATAGGATCAAAACACATCAATTTGACTTTCTGCTTCATTAGTTTTATAAAATTTAGTTTTTTCAAGCTGTTACAGTATTTTTAAACTTTTGACTCTGGTCCGATATTCTCGAGCAATTTTTCAAAAATCTAAATGAGTTTTCTATTCGTTTATTATCAACAAGATTCTCACTTCTTTGTTGTGCAGTTTAATTTAGTGAATACTTCTTATGTCATATCAAAATTGAGACAAACGTCTGCTGCACCACCAATAGAAAATGTTCCATAAAGAAAGTTATGCTTGGTTTGCACTTCACTGGAACAGTTTGATTTTCATATCATTTTTACGAATCAAATGCACATTCATCGACACAGTATCTACATTTGGGAACAATTGAAAAAATATTCTTTCACTTGAACAACGATTGTATATCACGAATCCTGCAAAAACAAACAATCACATAAAAAATTGGGCGGAAGAATTAAGTTGGTTGTAAATAAAAACCATTCAAATTGAATATTTCAGTCTGTAATTTTTTTCAGCCCCATCTAGATTTCTCAAACTTCCCCCACATCTCTTTTATACGTGAAAATGTGATTTAAAAAGTCTCCAAAATTACAATTTTTCCAAGTTATTCCAGCCTGGATATTATAATAGTATACTTAAGGCTAACAAAAATATTTATTTAAAAACGTCATTTTCGGCGTTTTTCATAGTTTTCACTTAAATGGTAAAAGATAGAGACGAGGTGTCTTCAGCAATTGTAGAATTTGACAAGCTCTATAATTGTCACGAAGACACATATTCTTTTATTAATTCGACGAAAACCGCGAAAAACTAAAGTTTCACGGTTTTTCGCGGTTTTTCTGGAATTGATAAGAGATAAGGTACAGTATACTGTATGTCTAAAAGTGGCAAATTATGGTAGATAATTTATTTTTGTGTGACCAATATTGAGAAAAGAGAATCAACCACAAACACACTTACCAAGGTTCCGAAACTTTAACTTTAGTCATCGTTCGTTTTAATTTTTTTTTGAGTGGTCTAGAGTTTGTCGAAGTTTTCTACTGAAACGCCTTACACTTCGATTTGCTATTATATATTACAGACAATTTTCTATTGATATTGTGTTTTCGAAGAATTTTTCTTCGTGATTTATTTTGATATTTTTGTTTTCTGTCTTTGATAGCTGACCGAAGATGCAAGTGATGCGACATATTTTATTTGGCATGCTGATATGTACATGCCTTATCGGTTACAGTCTAGCAGCTTCACTTTCATTATTGATGCCAGCTTCAAGCAGACTTCCCAACAACGGACACCATTCCCTCTCCTCCATATCTCATTCAAGTAAGTGTTTGCTGAGATTTTGTTCTAATTGAATTAATTCCATGTTAACATTTTCAATTTCAATCAAAAATGAATTTCAATAATTAGGATATTGAATTCTGAGCCTAACAGTCAATTTATATGTTTTTGATTGGGTGGATTTGATAAATTTTCCTGCCAAAATTTGAGACATACAACATTCGCAGCCGCATCGATTATTTCTGTGTTTGACATTGGCTTAAGAGTCTTACTTCAATTTCGTTCAAGAAAACGGTATGTCACAGCATGTCTGATTGAAGTCGACGGTAATGCAATGCAATGTGATTCAAAATCCATTCACTTAGACACATAAGAAAAAAATCTATTTTATTTGGTCAGTGAATCGAAATCAGTTATAATATCGTGATGAATTCAATCAATCATAGATCGTACATAATCTCTTTGAAAACTTTGGATTATTTTTCGAAGCGTCAACAAAAGCAGCAAATTAAATGTCATAGATCAGCTTCCACCTCTCGAATGTTCTGCTCTTTTTTCCATTCACCAATCACTCTCGACTATAAAACGGTCACGACAATACCATGAAAGGAGGAATAAAATGATGATGGGGTGAAAAGCACAGAAGAAAGAAAAAAGAAAAAAGAAACTATGTCGAGTTGAAACAACCAAATTGACTAGCCACGTCTTTATCCATTAGTAAACCAAAACTATGACAACTGTCGATATCATCTCCAGCTACTGTGTAACGGAATTCGTTCGCTCATATAGCATTGCTCGACATAATTTTGTGTTTATTTTATATTTTAGTGGATATGTTTGTATTTGTAGGATTTTACATTAAATTCAGTATCCGACGAGTGATGTACATCAAAAGAAGCCAAAGAGAAAAAAGTCGCACACATATACAGGCGAACTCACATATAGTCCAACCATAAATATGTATAAAACTATTCCCTCTCGTCAAATCAGAAAAAAAGACAAAAAAATATATGAGCACAGAAACAATTGAGAGAAAGTTGGTACCCCATCATCTTTTTTTTATATTAGAGTTGGATAATGTTTGAGAGCATGGCAAGAAATGTTCACATACAATTTTCATGCTTCTGCCACTCACTGTTATTCAATCCTTCTCTTTTGCCCGCTACGCGATTTCATTGTGGCAACGTTTCTTTTTTTCTGTGTGTATTTCGGTCCACTTTTATCTTCGTTTATAGTGGAAAAGTGGAAAATCAAATAGCTTTAATCCACTTTGCTAGTGAATATGATATGCATCCAACACTATATAACTGTATAAAGCAATGTAAATGCGTTGATGGCTTTCATGTGTTGTAATCTCTATTATTTTCGATTAATCTACAGAGATCTCTGACATGGCCAAGAGCTTATCTAAAGCTTTGAGTGAATATCGGAACAACGTCGCCTAATAATTTCTATCCATTTTGAGAACTACGTTTAGTGCAATCTCAGCTCAAATCCGATTTTAGGACGATAGATGCGCTCGATTCACGCTAATTAATCTCATTTCAACTAACAGTAGAACAAAGTCAAAATTATAGTTATAAAGGAAAAAAATGTAATCTATACACACGTACTATACATGGGTACATTAGGGTGTTTTTTATAACCTGAAAAAGAGAAATGGTAGATTTTAAGTTAAAGAGAAAAGAATTCTGTATCAATTAATGGTGTTCACACAACGGAGCAATCGATATTCACACTTCCCGAAGCAAAAAAGACTGTTTTTTTTCATTCAAATTTCTAAATAACTCTCGCTCCGAAGCGTTGAACAAATTCTACTTACCGTGATATGATGCATAGAACAAGTCATATCCAAAAATGTGGTGGCGTGATGTCAATTTGACATTGTCAAACCGAAAAATGAACACGACTCATTCTGATCATCAAATAAAACCACTCATGTACTGTGACACATTAAGTTAGACACCTTATACATCTAAAATAGCCCAGTAAGTGCAAGGCTTGAGAACTCTAATAAACTATCAGAAAATATTTGTTAAAAAAACTTCAATGCTGAACGCCGTCGTCATTCGGTAGTCGCAACAATGCTGGATGTATCGGAATGTCAAACAGCGTGCAAAGACCTGAGTAAATAGTAAACAAGCACACAAATGACAATTAATTCAAGCGAAAATCAAATCTACTTTTCAAATGAAATATTAATAGATAATGAACCTTTGTACAAGATCAGTTCGGCTGCTGATATGTCCCGATGCCAAAGTGATTTGAGCAACTTGCGTGATTGTGCAGCGTCTTCTGTTTCAGCGTTTTCAGCAGCATTTGGTTGCCAGGTTTGGAAAAAGCGTTGCTTCTTTGACACCAAACGTCCTGAATTTCGTTGGGTTAGAATGGCTGCAATAGTATCACCTTGGTCACGCATTCCCTCCCATGTACGCATGATTTTCCGGTGCATTTGTAACACTCGTTTGCTCACGTTCGTATAGATGGTCAAGCATGTCTGCGAGCTTCCTCAGCGAGCCAGCTCCTCAATATGTGAGCGCTCAGCTCATAGAGAGCTGGCTTATTTAGGTGGCGTTGCAATACAAAGAAATGTCAGAATGTTGACAGCTAATATTTTAAAAAAAGTGAAAATATTCTGACATTTCTTCCTATGGTAACGCCACGTAAATGAGCCAGCTCACTCTACGCTGAGCGCTCACATATTGAGGAGCTGGCTCGCTGGGGGAGCTCGCGGACATGCTTGTAGATGGTTATCGGAAGTTCAACACGTTCATCTGGTTGCAATCGTTGCAGTCCTTGTATCGCTTGCTCTTCGTCCATATCGGGAACCTTTTGAAGCATCGGGCACAATGTTGCGATGCCATCTACAAACCGAACGGTACAATTTCCACGTCTTTTGAAGGCTGCAATCAGCTTGCGAACGCCTGGACGACGCACGTACTTTTTGATTTGGATCGGGCAATTCGGTGAAATTTCGGCTGCTCCGATGTTGATGATAGCTGCCTTGAAATGTACCAGTTTACCGGCGATGAGATCAATTGCACGACGCCATTCAATATGTTTGTCCAAACGTAAGCGTGCATATTTTTTCTGACTGTATGCCGCAATGCCATTTTGGAACATTCGCAGGCAATGTTCGATGTAAAGACTCGTGTCATTCGTTCGGCATTATTGTTGCGCGCATCTTGCTTCGATTTACGATGGTATTGTTCGAAAGAAATCTTCTCGTTGCTCTGAAAATCAAATGCAACAAAAGTGAATTAATTTTTCTTCTCCTTCTTCTTCTTCCTCTTCCTCTTCCTCTTTCATTTTGTAAATACTTACCTCTTTGGTGGTAAGATTGCAATGGACTGCCGCAATAAAAGTTCGCATGCTTGGTTTCGGCCTCAACTTGAACAACGGTTTGCCTTTGTTTCTGGCAATCTGAATAACACCGACGCTGACACACCATCTGATATTATCGAATCGCCGAATTCCTTCTTATTCTTGGCCAGCTTGGTGATTTCCTCCATGTTGAAATACGAACGCCAGCTTCCTATTCTTTTAAATTCAGTCTGTGAGATGAAGCGCTGGAGGACTTCGCCTTTCTTGTTGACTCGAAGACCATCTTCTTGCTTTCATTGACTTGACGCCACATAGAATATTGTACAATGCATCCGTATCAATTTTCACGTGTCGGCGCTGAAATGTGCACTTCGGAATGACTGTAAAGGTGATATCAGGCGGCTCTGGAAATTCTGGCTCTTGCACATAGAGCGGATATTTTCGGAACGGATTCCAACTTTGGCGTAGATTGGCAAACGAGAGATGAAAGTAATGAATATCGCGCTGTATATTTATGAACATGCGCAATGCTTGGAACCAATCAAAGTCGGAATATTCTTATACACTTATAATGTATTAGTTGTTGAACAGTCAAGCTATTGCATACTAGTAGCGCCTCTAGTGAGTTTCGCAAAGAACTACCGAGAATAACAGCGACAGCATTCAAAACAGATTATGACGAAATAACATTCGTGTCTGTGTCCGTGTGGTTTGTTGTGTCGGTTACTGAAGGTGGCGGTACTAATTCATGTGTACGAAAACTTCAACATTTATAATGAATTCTACAAATTCTTTGATGTTTTGAATGGGTGTGGATCATCCGGTCTGTAAGGTGCTCCAATCCAATACAGCTCCGCCGCATTTGCATTGCCACGCGTGCAATCTCGTCGTTTGTATGTGAATTTGATGGCATTTTTGTCTGTGGCCATGGAAGGATACCAAATAACGATACCGAACAATAGTTTTACTTTTTACGAATGAATTGAATATTACAATACAACAATTATTATTATTATACAACAAGAGTATGTATTTAAGGAACATTTGCGCAGAAATTTGGGAAATTGGCCATGCTATGAAATGCTTGTATTTTGTGTAATTTTTTCGGTGTTCCGGTTTAGACTTGACTGAATTGTTTTCTTTACACAGACATTCACAGTTGGTCAACTAATTAGACTTTTCTATAATTAATAGGACTGAATATGGGCCGAATGAAATATATCTGCAGTATAAAGTGATATATTCCATTTGCAGTGCTTGCTGGTTTATGGCGACCGGAATTGGATGCAAATGAATGCGCTACAATTTTATTATATACTGGAAATACCATTAACGTTACTTAAAATTCAAATACCGCTTCATCATCATGTCAGCCTATATATTACGGCTTGTATCAGTTTTAAACAATTTCAAATAAAATATTTGAATCACATGATACAACTTGAGTCTAATTGCACGTTATTTTTTCGTAATAGCTTTTATTTTTGTTCCGCTATTTGGAGCTTTTTTTTTTTTAAATGAAACGCAAAATGTTATAAGCATATATCATGTTTTATGTGGATGGATCACTATAAAATGTTATTGCAATCCGGAATCACAAGATAAATAATGAGATAAGCCGCGAGTTAACGGAAAGAAGTTATGGTGTCCTAGAAAATGATATTCGTAAAAATCTCGTCATAAATTTCGAGTAAACAACTTGAGAATGAAAAAGTAGA